CCCCCCCATCACCTCCACCACTACTGCTGGCACACAAGTACCCCTGGTATATGCAGGGGCGGAGTTGACATTTTCACCCAGACACAAAAAAGCAGCAGAGAAGGCCACATTCAGCATGGGCACTACAGAGCAGCCTGGGAGAGTTGTAAATACCAACCTCCACCTCACAGCCATGACCTCCCTGCTAAGTCCTTGCTGCCCCAGACTCCCCGCCAGTTCCCAGCACCCCCACCAGGCGGCTCACAACTACTGTGGCTCCAGCTCAGACACTTCCTTCTGGCTTCTGTGGGCACTGTGCTCACCATGCTCCCTACTCCACATAACTAAAAAAAAATGTTAATGAGACAAAATGGGAAAAGGCTAGGAAAAAGAAAAGCCACTTCATTGCCAAAGGGAAACTGCTAGAATTACAAACTAAATATAAAATTACGCTGGCCACTTCAGCTGTAGAAAAGGCAGCTTAGGTGGGGACGGGAGAAAAATAGGCCATAACAATTTCATAATTATTTGTCAAAAGTCTTTGTTGAAAGAACAAACTAAATGTGTCCACCCTTCTCCTGATAGGGAGAGGGGGAAGTGGGGAGGGAGGGATGGGGAAGAGGCAAGAGTGGAAGGAGCCAGAAGAGCACAGGGCAGAGCAGGCGGTCTCCCCTGATCAACATGGGAAAGGGGAGATAAGGCCGGCTGTCGCGGTGCTGGGAAGGAAATAGCAGCGTGAGTCGTCGTGGGATCTCTGACTAGCAATGGGAGCAGAAGTTCTTCCAGCAAGGAGCGCTCTGGCATGCAGCTGGGCCCTGAGGACATCCACTCCGCTTAAACACACCCCAGGGAATCGAGATGCTCTGAGCCTCAGGGAGCCCACAGGATCCTCGTCAGCCGAAACCCCCATTCCACACCATCAGCATGGCGAGCAGTGTGAAGCAGTCACTGCTTCACAGAAGTCACAGATGGGTCTCCGAAGAGCTTAGGGACGAGGCTTTCCAGCCAACAAGACGGCAGTGTTTGCGCTGATTTTCACATCCGTCTACTAGCACGCATGTTAGCACATGGGTGAATCCAACACACACCTAGAGTTCCTCAGTGCAAAACTTGGAAACTGAATAGATCAACAGCTTGGTGGAAAGTGAAAAGACAGGAAGTGACCTCAGAGGAGGAGAGCTTGCTTCCTGCCATCATACAGCCCACATTACCAACAACATCACATGATCGCCCTGGGCCTGGGCTTTCTCATCCGGGCCTGGCTTTTCATGAGGCAGGTGAGGACACGCTTAATAGCCATACAGGGGAGCGCTTGGGGGCCTAGTGCAAGGGTTCCATAGCAAGATCCTCTAAGAATCACAAGCACCCACCACAGGCTGTGTAGCTCAGTGGCACAGCGCTTGCCTAATGTATACAAAGCCCGAGTTTAGATCCCTAGAACTCCCACAAACACACACATACACACATACACAGAATCTAAAACCACTGGCGCAACTCTACACACAACCTTACGTGACAGAAAGCAGGACTGTGGTTGATTCTCTCTCTAACTCCAGGGTCTTACGGCAGCGTGAGGTCACACTCTGTGTGATTACAGCAACGAGCAGCAGCCCACCCTCTGTACTAGGAAATAAACTGCCAAGCCAGACAGGGGGCGAACGCCCCCAAATAAAAACTGTGCTCTGAGGAACAACTGTATTCTACATAGGTGCAGACACAACTGTCTGACTGCTTCTGGAAATGAATGCCGACAGCAGTCAGGCTTGCTGGATGTCTCCAGAACACCCTAACTTCTTATTTAGGAGCCTATGCAGAGCCGTGAGTGGCCAGAGACAAGGAAGGCTGTAAGTACTGGAGTCCAGCTGGGACCCATGGATCAGGGAGATGCTAGCAGAGGGGAATCAACCACAGGCTGGTGAGAGCGTGGCTGTGGTGTATGCCTTGTGGCATCAAGGCAAAGCCCTCGGAGAGAAGCCTGGGACCAGGGCTCGGTGGGTAAATTGCTTGCCACACAAGCGTGAGGGCCTGAGTTCAATTCCCCCAAACCGCGTAAACAACTGTGCATGATACTCTGCAACAGTGCACTTCATCCCAGCCCTGGGGAGGTGGAGACTGGAGGCCAGACAGCCTCGCCTACTGGTGAGCCCAGGCCACCGAGAGATACTGGTTCAGAAAGCTGGTGACAGTGCCTAAGAGTGACCACTGAGGCTGAACTCCGGCCTCCACACACGCACACAGGAGCAAGCACACTGTCCATCCCATAAAAGAGAGAACATAGTGAGAAGGCGGCAGGAGAGGTGGAAGCCTCACCTCGTTGTGCTCCAGGCAGTAGATCATCAGCTCCGACAGGATGACGACGCCCGTCCTTCCCACCCCTGCACTGCAGTGGACCACGATGGGCGGGTGCCTGGACTTGATGCCTTCCAGCACACTGTTGGTGTGGCGTCGGACTGACTGGATCTCCTCCAAGTAGGCTGTGGGACAAAATGTAGATCTTGTCACCCAAACGTGTCACATGACTTCACATCCAGGAGGATGGCGGGGAGGCGCCAGGACTGAGGGTGAAAATTTTGTTTTCAGTCATAATCATTTGCAATTCGTATCAGACTCTAATCGTTTGGCTGGTATCCGCTGCAACACCCTGAAGCCAGAAGAGACCAGCTGGGAGTCAATTAGTGCGCAGGAGAACGTGTTCTTTAAATAGTTCTTTTTTAAAAATTAAATTCTGTTTTCCCCTCTGCAAATCCCCAAGTCCCCGAAGCAGATGACTCTAGACATTACTTACAGCATTCTGTGCTATTACAGAGCGGGATCGGAACATCCGCTAAGTCCCCTTGAAATGCTGCCCTGTCAGAGCCAATTCCTGTTGGGGAAAGAGCAGCCACCTGCCCCCCCCCCCCCCCTCCCAGAATGAGTGACTGTCAACCAAGGCTTGGATTCATTTTCAGATGTAAAAACGAGGCTTTGGGGAATCTGGTTCCGTGAGGTTATGCCACCATTCAAGAGGAGCCCCCACTTTTGGGGGCACCAAACCGGTGGGTGGTGGTTCAAGATACACTCTCAGCCGCCCAGCCCAGCAGGGGTGAAAAAGGGTTGTTTACAGCCCCAAATGGACACTGGAGGGAAACAGACACATAATCCGGAAAATCTTCAGCCACTCCACCAGCCAGCATTTCCACAGTGCTACACAACACCACTGTGTGGAGATCCTTACAGAAGCAGCCCACACCTTTGGAAGGACGCCCTGCATCCATCAGAAGCTTAGGCTGTCTTTGCTTGAACTGCCTCCGATTTAAGGATCGGACCGCACCTAGGCCATCCCGTGGGTCCCATGCGTCAGTAGCACGGTCCAGCACCAAGCCAGTCTCCAGGAGTTTATCTCAAACTGTAACAGGTCCACTAGCGCAAGAGTCCCTGAGCTGGATAAAAAGGACACTGTGGAAGGAGGGGATGTCCTGCAGGGGTCATATCCCTCCCAGCTGATCACCTGACCTCAGGCAAAACCTCAGACTCTCTGGAGCTTTGGGTCCTTTGCCCAGCGCTGTCCTACAGTGTCCACTGTGCTTCCCGAGGCCCGGCCCCCACTTACAGTTAGTGGTAAATGGAATCCTCAGAAGCTAACAGAACCGGAGAACCTGGACTCTGTTCTGAGCCTTCTCAGACCCCATTGCTGATCCTAAACATACCAAAATAGACAAATGTTCTGCTGCCTGGCATGTGCACAGTGGGCCTCCACGGACACAGCTTGCCCACCAGCGCTGCTTGCCTGCCTCGAGCCGCTGCCTGGCACGAAGGGCACCCCTGTATTCTCATGATCTAAAATCTAAAATGGCCGTGCCCAGGAAAAAAGTGCCTGTAACGGATGTGCCTGATGTAGCTGCCCAGGCAGGGGAATCCTACGGTTCCTATCCTTCATGCCCGCCATCTCTGGCTCCGTGCGCTGCCTTCAGGGGTCACCCCTGTTACAGTACATGTAGCTAGGGACTGATTACCAAGACGGGCCTGCATCAAGGCAGAACTGGCTTACCACAGCCCTTCGGACTTGCACGAGAGGTTGACAGAGCACAAGCAGTACTATTCCTCTTCTCTGGCCTACACAGAGGTGAAGGGCTCAACACTTAACACCCCCACCGATTAAGAGGAGGCATGCCTGCTCACGGCCAATCAGCAGGCTCCCGACGAGTTCCCGAAAAACTCAGTGTGGGGAAAACTTACACAGAAAGCCCTGGACGTCTTCCGGGCAGCCGTGGTGAGGCCAGTCAGTGTACTGCAGGTGCCACACCGTCCTCTCCTGCCCCGACAGCAGGTGCTTCACCTTTAAGCCCGTGGTGGCATAACACCCAGAATCTGTCCGGAACTTTGTGGTGACCTTGAACTTGCCATAGGTGGCTGAGCTGTGCTTGGACCCCAGTTTGGGCCAGTACCGATGGCTCTTGGTCCGTCCACCCTCCTGAATCACACACAAAAGCAGAAGTGGAAATAAGTCAGCGATGGTCTTAGGATCCCAGCACAGGAGGGCAGATGGCGGACTCTGAGTTACATCTCCGTGGCCCTGCGCAGTGTCCACTGGGGCAGTTGTTCAGGTCTGGACCCAGGCTAACAGTCCTTACGATGATAGCTACATCGTGGGGAATTTAGAACGCAGGAAGTACACAGCGCAGAGATGAGAAACAGGCGTGATGTGACACATCCTTAGGGGACACAGGTCACGCTGTCTGGGCCCACTGAGCTTGCCTGTGGCTCCCTATGTCTGCAGTTCTTTTTCCTGTTTACCTGCAGAAGAAGCGGCTCCATGTGAGAACTCAAACTCACATCGGTTTCAGTGCCCAAGTCACACCTAGGTTTTACAGAATGATCATCCCTGGCTGTCCCACGGATCAGCAGGTTTTGATTATTCTGGCATGGCAGATCTGCTCTTGTCACTTCGGTCTTAGCCGGAACACTCCCTCTCCAAGGAGCTGCAGCTGCCCAGCTAACCATCCGCTGGTCCCTCTGAGCTTGTGCTATCCACTCACTTTGCAGTGTCCCTCCTCCTGGGAGGGCAGCCCCAAGGGACAAGGACAGTGCCCACGTCACCCACCACCCACCCTAAAGTTGACACAGATGCTACCTTGCATTTAGATTAGGAATTCTAGGCCAGCCTGGGATAAGACAACATGTCATAGCGACAAAATAAATAACTCCGTAAGCAAATAAAGGTTCATAGGATAAAGGAACCAACCCTTCCATGACACCATCTGTTAGGAGGCCGAATCTAGTTCGGAGTCAGCATTAGTTCTGAAATTGTACTTTCTGCCTGTGTACGTGTGTATGCGTGTGGTATGTATTCATGAGGGTGTGTGCAGGTGTGCCTAGGGAGGTCAAAGGTCAACACTGACTGTCTCAGCCAGGGACCCTCTGCCTTCACCTCCCCCGTACTCCACGAGCACACGTGGATTCTGTGAACCCAAACCACATCCTCATGCTAATGGGGCAGGTGGTTACCAACGGGGAGCCATGTCATCAGCCCTAGGATTTGTGGCCTTGGTAGAAGATCAGAGCGAGTGAGTGGGAGTGCAGTCTGACCTTCGAGAACTTGACACGCCTTCAACAAATCTCGTCATAGACTGCTCCAGACATTACCTGCCCAGGACAGTCATTGTTGCTGATGGTAGGGGACAGGACAGTCACGGTTGGTGTGTGTGTATGTGTGTTGTGCGTGTCTGTGTGTGTGTGTTGTGCGTGTGTGGGGAGGGGTTAACAACTTTGCCTTTTTGCAAGTTCTCTCTGCTCCTGGGTCTGAAGAAACAGGTGGAAACGGGCCCTCACAATACCAGGGGACTCCGTAAAAAGCATAAAGCTAGTTCCCCTAAATGAATTTGAAAATATAAATTGGAATTTCATGAGGCTTAAGAAAGGGGAGGAGAACAAATGTTTTAAGACTGTGACAGAGAGGAAATCCAACACTTTCCCCTCAAAGTCAGCACCCTCTGAGACAGCATCGCACGGGGGAGGTGCAGGTGTGTCAGTTGGCACGCCGCAGGCCCGGCCCCACAGCCTCAACAGAGAACCTGTGTTTGGCTTGGCAAAGGAAGAAAAGGAATTTTCTCTTTCTTCTCCCTGAAGAATGAAGCCCTTTCCTCTGCAGTGGCTCTGGACTCCTTTCAGCTGATAAGCACCCCGGCACGCAGGGCTGGCAGCGCCCGAGGCTGGGGGCCCCCCGAGTGTTTACCCAGCACGGCCCGAACAGTTGTGTGGGGGGACACCCCGCCCTCTGGGTGAACTCACTCGGTCGTCTTGAGGCTGTGTTTGGTTTTCACTGGAGTGAAGTATGTCACAGAGAGGTAAGAGCCAAGGGAAAGTGAGAGGAGACAGTCCACTGTCAAGGTCTCCAGGAAAGGAAGCTCACCAGATGCCAGAGGAGAGAGGCCACATGAACAGGAAGTGGGTGTGCAGAGACACAGAGCTGAGGCACGGAGCAGACGGAGCCGAAGCCCCGGGGGCAGGCCCACCTCCTGGCCACCCCTCCCCAGGATGAGGGTGGTAGGTAAGCTCTTCCCTTACCTCCTCCGCGGTGACCATGGCAATCACGTTCACACCCTGTTCCCACACCATCTGCCAGAAGTCATGGCACGTGTGTGGCAAGGGCCCCTGAGTGGCAATGTAGTGCCATTCGGCTCCACCAACCACCACCTGCAACCAAGAAAGGCGACGGTAAGTGACCAGGCAGGTGAAACCACCCTCACTTCTAACTGCTTTTGCACCAAGCAGATTGGTTAATCACACAAACCAAAAGCCACAAGCACCAGACGGCACGCTTTCACACCAGAATACATTTTGCTAAAGCAACTCATCAAGTCACACTCACCTGATCTGTACTGCATGCAACAAACGTGCAAACTAGTGCAGATTAAAGCAGTCACCTGGGCGGAGGAGCCGGCTCAGCGTGAGGAGTGCCAGCTGTGCAAGCCTGGAGACCTGACTTTTACCCCGCAGCACCCCACACAGGTGAGGCGTGGCCGTGTGCGCCTGTCACCCCAGTGCTGGGAGGCTGCAGAGGAAGGCCCTGGGCTCACCGGCCAAACTTGCTGCACACTGAGCCTACGGTTAGCAAAGACCCGGCCTCAAAAAGCTAGAGAACCAAGTCAAGAAATCGTTCTCTGAGACCCCAACAACCTCTAACCCACGCACACAGGCACACACATACCCACACGCACACAGGCACACATAGATGCACGCACTCTTCATCATGACAGATAAACAGGTGGCTCCAGGTGCACACACATGCACCCTCACAGATATACACTCACACACACACACATATGTATGCACAGGCACATACATGCATGCACATGCGCGCATACACAACAAATACATACGCATGCCCAAACACACGCACACACATACACACATGTGCGCACACATACACACACAGAAACACATGTACCCACATGCCCAAACACATACACGCACACACATACACACATGTGCGCACACATACACGCACAGAAACACATGCACCCACATGTATACACAAAACCACACACACATGCACACACATGAACAATTGACAGACATGGGCACACAAAACAAACAAATAAATGTAATAAAAATAAAACATAATGAAATAAGGTCATGAATGATACAGAAGAAAACTGATGTTGACCTTTGGCCTCCATTTGTGCAGACAATGGGGAGTGGACTCATACATGTGCACACACATACATGAACTCACATAACGCATAGGTATACGCACATACCAAAGAATAAATTAACAGCATTTAGATTCCCCAAACAACACCCACAGCAGTATATAACGTATGTACATGCCGACCATGCGTTAGTCTAAATTTTATCCAAGTATGTGCGTGATTACCATCGTAAAATCAGTGTCAACCACCAAAGGGCTGTGAGTCCCAGCTTGAAGAACAGAATTATAGCAGATTTTTAATGAAAGCAAATTCTATGTGAAAAACCATCCCCCTGGCAAACACAGATCCACAGAAGTGAAGGTGGAATAGTGAGCCCTGCACGCACACTCTCTCCCCTCCTCCTTTCCTGTGCTTGACATGGCAGAGATGGGCCCCTTCAAACATCCGAGCAACACAGACCTCCAGAGGGGTCCAGACACAACAAGGGAGTACTTTTGAAACCCTCCTCCCCATTTACTTTAGGAAACCACACACTACCTTGATTCAAGCAGAAACAGCATAAGCTGTTGGTTCATTCCATAAGACGTGTTCAGGTCAAAGCTGGCAAGCCATACTGGCAGGAGAAAACATCCACACACACACACGTGTGTGTGTGTGTGTGTGTGTGTGTGTGTGTGTGTGTGTGTGTGTGTTTGTGTGTGTTGTGTGTGTTGTGTGTGTCTGTGTGTGCGCATGCGCGCCATCTGTGGAACTGGGGTGTTAAATTGTCTGGCCCCCAACATGTAGGGACCATAAACGCTTGCAGAGAATGCTGCCTCCTGCAGGGACTGACAGTAGAGCATTAAAAGCTGCCCTGAAAGAGTGAGTGCTGCAGAGGAAGGTTCCCAGATGTGGCTCCACCCCTGGAGGAGAGCATCCTCCTCCCGTGCTAACAGCTGCTTGGGAACCAGGGCAGAAAACAGGGGCAAAATACAGAGCTCCACTCCACAAACCGAGGGCAGGTTCCTGCAAGCTCTCTGGGCCTGTGCAATGTACCCACATCTACCCTGGCTCTGAGAAATGAAATGTGGGCCCCAGGGAAAACCGCAGGAGGGAAGGCATCTCGGTAACAACACCCAGAGGGCCCTGCTCCTGCAGAGTGACAGCTGTTTCCAAAGAGCAGATGGCAAATGGGGAAGAGACGGGGCCAAGGGAAGAAGCCAGCAGAGCACCGCTCTTCATCAGCAAGCAGCTGGGTAGCCCGCATCTTGATGGCTGTGAGTCTTGCCTCAGCCTTCGACGGCTGAGCCATCGCTCCAGCCCTCATCCTCATCTTTAAATGTGTCACTCTGCTCATTATTTCATAATCTGAGACCATCATTGGTTTACTTAAGAGTTCCCTGGCATTCATTATTTTATTCATTTTGTTCCCGTTCTCAAAAATAAAAGAGAAAAATATGCCTGGATGTTCTAAATACATATATTCAATGCCAGCTATGCCCTCGGCATAAGAACACCGTACCCGTCAAGTCATACTTGTCATATACTATGGCTACGAGTGATACACACGCCAGGTGCCTAACTACGCTTTAGAGGGTCGAAGGACTCTTCTAGCAATTCCTCCAGAGTTGAAATTAAGAGTTCAATCACACAGAGTACTGAGGTGAACTGCGTTGCTTAAAAGTGTCCTATACCAGCGGTGGTGGCACACACCCGTAATCCCAGCACTCGGGAGGCAGAGGCACCTAGTTCTCTGAGTTTGAGGCCAGTCTGGTCATCAGAGTTACAGGACAGCCAGGGCTACACAGAGAGACCCTGTCTCAAATAAACAAACAAAAAACAAACCCTATGCCCACTGATTAAGCAAGAGCCTCCAGGACTCTCTCCCAGGTCAGAGTTCAGAGGCATGCTCTAAAGTACGCCCAGTTATTAGGAAAACGGGAGACGGTGAGCAGCCCAGGGAAATCATTCGCTCTAGGTCCCCATGTGTTCACGGCTCCGAATTCCGCCTGGGCTCCAGCTAAGCCATGCTGCACAGAGACCTGAAGTATGCAGGAAGCCCACACACCACAGGCTGGAGAGGACAAACCCACTCGGCACGGCTCAGGGCCCGTCAGAGCATCGGGAGGGCTCTCTGAACGCAGCCAGAGTGCTTGTCCCGAGGTTCGCCTCCCACACGCCCCTCACCTTGATGTGGGAGGCGTTGATGTAGCCCGTGTTGTTCTCTTTGGTCGGGATGAGCTCCACTCGGTTCTCCTCGTAGGGGACAACTTCCCGGATGCGGCTGCGTTCAGCGTTCTCCGGCAGAGCGGCGGTGCTGAAGATGCCGTTGGCCTTTTTGTTCGGGATCTGCTCGTACTCTGTGAACACCATTCCCTCCTCCAGCTTCTTCTTCAGAGCTCTGAGCTGCAAGGGAAGGAGCGCATTAGCTCACTCAGCTCCCACAGAGCAGCCAGGCTCCCAGCACGCCTGGAGTTCTGAGCGTCCTGAGCCTCCACAGAAAGGGCTGTCCATGAGGGGGATCAGCAGGTGCTGAGGTACTTACTGCCCTCACTATTACCCACACCTCGGGTCTCTCAGGTCTGACGGCTGTTCCCCTTCTCACCCATGCTGCAACATGCAAAGACCACCTCAAGCCGAAATTCAGTCGCTGTGCTTCTGTCACTTGGTGCCTGCCTACAATCTTCGATGATAAGGACAGTGATAATCTCAACTATCCAAGCATCTTCTCTACTGACACAGCAGTTTTTACTGAGTTAAATGGAGGAGGTACCAGTTCACAGTGGTAGAGCTCTGAGGACCAAACCACACGAAACACATTGCCTTTTCCCTTCCCTGGCTAAAGCACTCATTTCAGTTACACGGTATTAATTGGGAAAATATATCTTGAGAATATATATGAGAATCCAAAGCATTCTCATACCAAGTGTCTGCTGACAGAAATCTAATACCCTCAAATGTATTTCGTGAAGTTAGGAAGCCAGTTTCCGGGCCTTCTGATCGCAAGCCAGGCGGCCATTTCAGGGAGACATTCTCTGCCTCAGTGACACAGAATCACAGCTATCAACACCCAATCAAAGAACTATAGGTCACATCATCTTACAGCCATGGAAGGGGACCGCAGGAACCCTAAAACCTTGGATGGCTGTTTTCTAGGAGACAGCAGTCATTTACAAAAATCACAGAGTATGGCAGCTGGAGAAATTAACTTTCTCATCTTGCAAAAAGAAAAAGTTTTGTGTAGTTACAGAAACTTAGTGGTTTCATTGTAGAAAATAAAAATTTTTAATATTTCCCCCATCTCCCTTCGGCATGCTTCAAATTAGTACATATCTGGATTCTCGTCAATCACATCAGGTGTAAATTTGCATTTATCCTTAGTAAATATTAAAATCATATAACATGCATGGGAAATTGATAACTCCAGGAGGAAGCTATAGCCGGGATACAAAATGAATAAATTGTAACAAATAATAAATCAATAAAAAATAGGAAAAAATTCTTGAAAAGCTAAGTGACTAAGCCACACAGCTTGTTGGAGGTTTATTTTTTATTGTTGTTATTGCTTATTTGGGGAGGGGAGCAAGCCGTGTGGGCTCAGCGCACACCTTGAGGAAGTCAGTGCTCTCTTTCCACTATGTGGGTTCCAGGGAGTGAACTCTGGTCATCAGACTTGGTGGTGCGCTCCTAACCACTGAGCCATCTCACCAGCCCTGGGGCTAGACTGCTTAATCAAGCCTCAGTGTGGCTGGCTTGACAGAGTGTGGAGACCAGAACGAAGGAATAGGAGATGTGGAGAGGGTAGGTTTTAACATGCTCGGACCAAGTCTTCCTCGGTTGAAAGAATTAAGCCATGGGCAGACGGCACTGACGGGTCTGGGCAGAGAGGGCCTTCTGGAATCTGGGGGCGCAGCTGGCGAGTCCAGGACTTACCCGCTCGTCTATGGGGACTCGGGTGGCATCATGTCGACCATCCTCCCGCCCCGGGACTCGGGCCACCGAGAGCCCGTTCAGCGCTGCCAGCATCAGAGGCCTCTTCTGGGCCTGCAGGCCCGACATCTTCTGCTTCTCGAGATTCTTTCGGCAAGAAAAGACACGTTCTCATTGTTTATAATTCCAGGGGAAGGCTGGAATGCATTTTAATCTCCCCAAATCTGTAACTCCGCAGCCAAGGAATGCAGACATTCACTTCAGCAGGGCAAATTCAAACACAGCCTTCCCATTATTCCCACCGTGCCCAGGAAGCCAGTTCCTACAGGACCCTAGGGCCTTTGTTCTTAACTAACTCATACGTTAGAAAGATAAAGACAGGCTCCCTGGCAAATGTACCTTGCCATGGGGTTTACAAGAGAACCAAAAAAAGGGAGTTCATATGATATACTTTAGAAAAATACAGGCTGGAGACAGAAGAAAGAAAACAGACTCCACACACCATCTCAGTCCGTCACAAGGCCAGGCCTTCTGCACTGACTAATGGCGTGAAGCCTGACAACTACAGTGTTGGCTAACAGAGCCCTCACACCAGCAAAAAAAGGAAAATCAGGTTTCTCCTCTGAGGGGCTCAGGCTGAAGACCTGAATCGCACGCTCAGGCTCAGTCCCTGTCCAAGACACCTGCTTTGTCAGCCTCAGAACGAGGCCTACTGGCTACCAAAGTCACCACCACCCCAGGCTGGCCACAGATGATGAACTAGCAGGCCTTCTCCCCTCACACTCCACCCGGGGAGAGCAAAGGCCAGTGACTCCTGTCGGGAGTGTGGACAGGCCAGCTCTATCTCTGCCCTCCTCTCTGGGCTGGACCTGGTGTAGAGACGGCAGGACATCCTCATGACCCTGGCACCAGCAAGGCTATGGAAATTCTGTTTACGGCCGGCTAGCGTACCATGCACGGCTCTTGCAAACCATCTTGTCTTAGACACTCAGTGAAGAAAGTGAAGGAGAACACTTTGATGCAGACCGAAGCACTGCCAGTCTGAAGACACCTGTGACTACTCCGGATGAAGCAGGAGCCTGGTTTCTTCGCGGATTTCTTACTGTATTGGAGGAGGTGTCTTGATGGAGCCATGTTGTTGGAAAAGCACTGAGAAGGTGGGGTTGGGTGGCAGGGGCAACCTTGCATGGACCTCGTTGTCACCATGGTGGACTGGAAGCCTTTGTGAGGGGCACCAGGACAACTGCTCTGGTGACAGGCTGGCCCACGAACAACCAGGGCGCACGGGGAGCAGGACAAGCTTTGCGGGATGTGATGGGTGCCTAAGAGCAACAGTGGGGCTGCAAGAACAGCCTTGGAGTCTCCACACCACAAGCAGGCCCCAGGACGAGTCTGGATTTATTTGCTTATTATTTCAGCTTTGTGAAAGATCATTCTCTCCTATCCTCTCCTTTTGCTGAATTTAGAAATTTTCAAAGGTTTTATTTTGGTTTGATTTTTTGAGACAGGGTATCCTCAACCCTGTGAGCAACCCTCCCGCCTCTGCCTCCAGATCCCAGGGACCGCTGTCCTCAGGAAAGGCTTACTGCCTACCTGGGGGCACGGGAGACAGTGGTGACTGGGCTGGGCCTCTTAGGTGCGAGCTGTCCCTCATCTCAGAACCAAACTAGAAGGCCTGAGCTGGCTTTCTCTGCTCTCACACCGGACTCCTGGCTCGGGGCTGGAAAGTGGGAATTGTCTTTAAGGTGGTGGCAGGAGCAAAGGGTTGGGGGCCGACTGGCAGCAGGTTGAACCACTCATCCCACAGAAAGCTTGAGGGTTCTCTCTGTTCTCTTAGTAAGCGGGTCTGGTATGGCTTCAGGAGCCTTCTCTCCTCCTCTCCATGCACAGAGAAGTAGAGAACCTGTGAGGATGCTGCCTGGGCCGGCAAGTACAAATAAAGACTTTAAGATTCCTCTTGGGTGATGGAGCCACTGGCAGGGTGGGCCTTCTTGCTCGACTTCTCGGGGCCTCTCTGAGGCTGGGACATTGACCCAGGGTAGCGGGCCTGTGAACTCCTGGTTATATGAGCTGGGTGAGGGGGCAGTCATGTTCCTCAGCTAAAAGCTCACTGGCGAAATCTGCCAGTGGATAAGATCCACCATCCTGGAATAAAGCAGAACGGGGGAGGGGACCAGCAGAAAACACCTTGTTCTTTCTCAGTTTGCAAGATGCTTCCAAGCAGGGGACCGGCACCAGAGTCATGGCCACAGGCTGTTTGTTTAATCTGGGTAAGAAGACGGGTTTAGCCAAGACCATGTGGACATCATTAACGCTCAACTTGGCAGGGCCAGCCTCAATGCTCACACTGATGGATCCCTGAAGCAAACGAAGCTTTTCCGAGGCTTGGAGCTAGTAAGTGTTGAAATTTCATTCAACAACCAATGAATTACGTTTTTCAAAGCTGAGAAAGCTGTCTCCTCGGGTACCCCCATCTCACTCCACCCCCAGACAGAGCTGGGGGGGGGGGTGTTTTTTGTTTTGTTTTTTTACCACCAGAGGCACAGGTACAAACTTCACCATTACCCTCTCTCTTTGCTTACTCTTTAAGTTACCACCTGCTGCACACCAGAACCTCGGGCCTGAGCTGCTTTCAGGCTGTTCTAAAGTAACAAGGGTACTGGTTTCCAGCTCTGAGCCCAGCAGCGTGGCCCCTGTAAAACTAGCCTTCACTTCCTGTCTCTGGGTTGATTCCCAGGGTTGAGCTCGGAAGACTTCGCAGTGAGCCTCATGACCTCCAACAAAGCGAATGTAACACAGTGTGTCTTCCAGGGTGCCTAAGGGAGGGCCAGCTACCTGACAGCACAGCTTCCCTGAACGGGAAAGAAGTCAGTTGCCTCCATTAGTTACATAATTGAAGGACTTTTGAGGGAGGTCAGGATTTCCAGGGAAAGCAGTTAACAGAGGATTTTTTTCCCCAGCAGCAACTACAATCCAACAATGTTCTCATTGTAAGAGGTGTTTATTTTCTTGTTTATATACATGTGCCACCGAGTGGGCTCAGCCCAACAACAGAGCTAGCTTTCTAGGCTGTGCGCTTCCCGGCGAGGGGCTATTTGTGATACCAGCGCTACAGGGTATCTTCAGATGTGGGATGTATGCATGTACAACGCATGTGCAAAGTGTGTGAGCTGCTCAGGGAGCAAATCTGATGGGGACTGAGGCTCACAGTAAACTCCTCCGGGACATACCATCACTAAAATGTCCTTGTACCAAACACACCAGCCGTAGGCCACGAATAAAAATGGGATGGAAGGCGTTATTTGAAAAAGCAACCCTGACCTCTGGCGACATCATCACTCTTGGGTGAAACGCCCACAGTGCTCCCTGAAGCCTCCCTCCTCGAGGCTTCCAGCTTCCGGGCTCCCCACCATCAGTGACCCAGGCGTGGGGACACTCACCCTAATCATCATCTCTCTCTCTATAATGCTGTCCTCCAGCGAGAACATCTCTGACACGGGCCTTTCCTTCACGGGTTCTTTCTTGGCCCGTTCCTTCACGCTGGTTAGGTCAGGCTCAGAGATGGAGGGGCCCAGAGAGGCTCCGTTGACAGCCAGCTGCTCAGCCCGGGAGACGCTGAGGGCCTTGGCCGGTCCGTGTCTCAGCACCCTGGCCCTTGCCACGGCAGGAAGAAGGGTGCCCTGGTCCTGCCTCAGCGCCCCGTTACTGATGCTCTTCCTTGGCCCCGGGTACTCAGGCGGGGGCCTGTTGGGGATGCGGGCCAGGGCGGCCTGCAGCTGAGCGCTGTATTCCACCTTCTCCCGGAGCACAGGAATCTGAGGAATCGCCTCGGGGGCCTCCTCCTCCTCCTCGCTGTCACTGCTGTGGATCAGCATGGTGGCATCTGAGAACGTCTTCTTGTGGTGGTACTGGGGCAGCCCGTGCCCTTGGTGGCCAGCCGCCTCCTCTGGGGGACCCTGCTCCCGGAGCGTGTTGCGGCGCACCATGGGGATATTGAGTGACTTGAGTGTCATGGCCTCCATGCCCCGGACCATGCTGCTCATCACCTCCAGGCTGTGGCGTTTGTTCACCGGGCCGTGGGGCTTGGTGGCCGTGAGGGGCTCGCTCACCTCCTGCAGCGACTGGTGGACCACGGGAGAGCTGTCCTCCTGGAAGGTCTTCACAGACAGCTGCACCTTCCGCGTCACCAGGTCGGGGCTGCTGCCGCTGACGTACTTGTGGCGGTGGCTGGCCAGGTCTGGGGTGCTGGTGGCGGGACGGGGCCTCGGGTAAGGGGGGGGGTGGCCTGAAGAGATAGTTCTTCAGCATGTGGGCTGTGCTGTAGTTTGGGGCTCCTTGGAGCTGCATGTTGGCCAGTTCCGGGGTGCTGACTGTGTGGGAGATGGAGCCGGCCCCTGGCTTGCTAGGCATTGCACAATTTGGGGGGCTCATCTGGTCAGATGGACTGGCAAGTTGGTGACCGTAGGCCCCTTGGGGCGCATAGGGGAAGGTGTAGGGAGGCCTCTCCCGCATCTCCGGCTGGCTGTACACCAGCTCCTCCGGCTGGTTGTAGGCGTGGCTGTTGATGATGTTGAGGTTGCGCAGAGACCGGCTCTGGCTGTCCGCGTGCATCAGCCCCCGCTTCATCTGCCGCATGACGGTCTCGTAGTCTGGGGTCGGCCTGTAAGACGGCACGATGATGGTGCTGTGACGGTGGCTGGGGATGTAATCGGCCCTCATGATGTCACTTCCGGGGATGCTGAGGTTGGAGGACACCGGAGAAGCCTGGATGAAGCTTTGCGAGCAGCTGAGCGAGTTGACGCTGTGGACGCTGCACACGCTGCCGTTGGTGACCGTACCATTTAGGTAATTTAAGTCCAGGCTGTTGTGAGAATTGCAATACAGGGCCTCTTCGTTCCCAGGGAAAATGCTGTCTGCAGGAGGTCAAACAGAAATGTGAGCTATCTCAGCACTGTTTTAACAGAGTTCCTCCCGATGTCCCTGGAGTGAATTAATGAAACGAGGCATAGAAAGCACAGTCCCTGGCCCTCACCCACACATGGCACAAAGAACCGTTCTCCTGGATGGACTGCCCATGTGCAGATCATGTCAGAGCACCTGCAAGGAAAGTGTGCAGCGTGGGCGTCGCCTAGGCATAGTCTCGGCTTTGCTATAATTAGATGCAAACAATAGCCACTTGTTGGGTAGCCTGGACTCTGGTGCACGGCTGAGGGGCAGAACCAGATATCTGGGCCAGGAAGTCGGGAGTTTTAATAGAGCCATAGACTTGAGGCTGCCCTGCCCTTGGAGCTGCTCTCTGACAACATAAGAAAAGGCTTCTTAACCTATGCCAAGCATTGAGAGAGCAGCAAGATCAATGGCGCAGCCACAGTTCCTGAGCAGCAGCCAGCCAATGGCAGAGCCAGAATCAGGAGCTTTTTGGGGTGTTCCTGAAACCTCCCTCTAACTCCACCGCCAAGACTAACTCGAGTAAAAAGAACAAAAGCTAACCTAAATGAAAGCACTGCAGAAGCTGGCTTCACGTATGTTTACGGTGTGCATGTGTGTGGGGCACGCATGCCCGTGCATTTGTGAGGAGGACCAACGTCTGTGCTGAGAAGCACCCTTCTTTGCTCACATTACTCTTTTCTCTGTCCACCTTGCTCAGGGAATCCCACCTCTGCCCCCCAAGGCTGCAACGCAGTCACCTTACCCCCCTTACCTAGCATCTGTGTGAGTTCTGAGGACACACACCCGGGCCCTGGATCTTGCACAGCAAGTGATTAAGCTACTGTGCTAGCCCACTTCTGTGTCCGCTTTATATGTGGGAAAGAAGACACTGTAGTCTAGAAAATGCCTCCATACTCTTGGCAAGACTGTGGGTCATTTTCTTGATTAACGTGGGAGGGCCCACTTCCTGTGTGTCTGTCACCCTGGGCACGTGGTCTTTGAAGGTCTAAGAGAGGAGGCTGAGACACAACCAGTGTCCTCCATGGCTGTGCGCATCAGTTCCTGTCCTAACGGCCCTCAGCGATGGAGTGTGGCCTGAGAACTGTAAGCCAAACTAAACCCTTTCCTCTCCAAGTTGCACTTGGTCATGGTCATTACAACGGTAGAAAACCCAACTAAGACAACTCTGAGTCTCCTCCCCAACCCGACAGCTGCTAAAGCCAGTCTCTGATTCAGGCCCACTCTGGACAGCCAAGGTTCCCCTGACACACACAAGCACACACCAGGAGGCCAGCCTCTTGCCTGCACACCTTTCTGAGCAGGGGAGACAAAGGGAAGATGAGAAAGAGGACTGTGTAACATCCAGGGGACTGGAGAGCTGGCCCAGTGGGTAAGAGCGCTGGCTGCAGAGTCCACAGGCTTGGTTCCCAGCACCCACATATAGACCCACAACTGTTACAACCCCAGTTCTAGAGGCTCTGGCCTCCATGGGCACTCAATTCAAATGGTATACGTACACACATGTAAACATTCATACACATTGACATAAGTAAGTCTTTAAAAAAACGTTCAACTCTCTGAAAAGGGAGCGAGGACAAACTTAATCGAGGCAGGAGAAATGAGGATGGGTGTCAGGGCTGATCCACCTCCAGTGGGGTTTGTGCCTTTCCACAGACGAGAGATAACTCTGCTGGGCTGCTCATAAAAAGTACTGCTGCACCAGACAGGATTGTTCAAGGCTTCATGCTTCAAACTGCAGCAGCTTCAGAACAGCCAGGAGAGGGTCACAGACACTCATGACGCATATAAACTTATGTAAGGGTTTTGATCATCGTTTTAAAGCTATGGTTAGCTCAGTGATCAAACAGTTTCATGGCTTACTGCTAAGAGAAATAAGTGAATTTAGCTGGGGTGACGGCTCAGCTGGCAAAGGAGGGCCTGAGTTTGGATCCTTAGCACACATAAAAATGCTGGGTGTGGCCGCTAGTGTCTGCAATCCCACCATTGGCTGGGTGGGGAAACTGGAGGCGGAAGGGCCACTCACTGCCCCCAATCTGGCTAATTGGTGAGTGCCAGAATCTGTCTCAAAAGGTAAAAAGTGATTAGAGGAAAAACACCCAACATGGCCCTCTGGCCTAAACACATCCACACACATCCACATACATGTGTACTTGCACATACTGATGTGTATACACACACACACACACACGCACACACGCACACACACACACACACGCACACACGCACACACACACACGAGTACCTACACATGCTGATGCGGGTTCGTTCACACACACACACGGTCTTCATATCCAAATGCTAACATTAGCCTCTGTCTCCCAGTTTCTGTGTGGGAACGTCAGTACCTCAGGCTTACTGTGTGGATCAAATGAAACCACACACGTCTCTGGCCCAGCACCAGGCCCCTCACACCCACTGAATCCGTGGTCATTCTTGTCCACGCACATGATGTAAGGGCCTGGAGGGAGGCTACAAAAAACTGAATGATGAGGTTGAGAGTTTCTCTCAGCTACCCAGTGACTCCGTGGCTACTCCAAGCTCCTGACACTGGCACTAGGGTGAAGTATGAGGGCTGGGCTGTCAGTCTCCAACCGTGGCCCACTAACGACGGGAAGAAGACAGGAAATGAGCACGCACCCTCCAGTTGGCCTAGTTGCTGCTAAACTCCACAAACTGCATCTGCTGGCCACTGTGGTTAGACGATGGCCAAGTTGGCATCAAACCATCACTGACATTTTCAAGCCTCCTCTGTGCTGTGCCCCGGGAGCCAGCCCTCTAGCCGCAGGGGCAGAAGGAGCGCTGCCCGTTACCTTGGGAGGTGCGGGTCTCGGAGTAGTGCTCTCCGCACTGCATGTGCATGGGTGGCAGGATGTACGGCTGCTGCCTCGGCTGAAACAGAGAACACAGAGCTGCAGAGGCCGTGGAGACACCCGGCAGATGCTGGCAGCCACCCCAACCAGGAGCACACTGTGGCTCTGTGGGCCACCCCACCGGCCCGCCCTCTCCCCCGGACCTATGCTCCCATCTCAGGACAGCGGTGACTGGGTCAGGGAGAGGCCGGCATCCAAAGCCAGGTGCAGCCACTCACTAGGGCGGTCTCGGGCACCACCCTTAGAAGCAGGTAACAGAAGAGGAACGACCATCGAAGAGAGAGGAGAAAGGAAACCACTTTATTCTGTCCAAACTGGCTCCCTCCCAAGCCCAAATGCTCCCTAAACAGCGGCAGAGCCCACGGTCGCAGTTCACAGCATGACAGGAGGCTCAGGTAGGGTCAGGGCTGTGCTGCTGGGCCCAGTGGTGAATTTACATAGGAACCCAAAAAGCGATGCACACAGTGTCATGGCCACCACAGAACCAAACATGGCCCAGGCCACAAAGGCACGCTAGCGCAGTAAGGATAGCCGCCTGGCCATGCAGAATCTTTCCCACTGGGTCTTACACATGGCCATTTAGACCAACCTGAATCTTCCTGCCGCAGAAAGGTGGCATACTTGCCGTGAGGAGAGGGATGAACAATGTCTAAACCACTAACTACCATGGTCCATCTCTGCTCTCGGCTGGTTGTGGAGCTGTTATCTCAAGATGACGAGAAGCTGGGCTTTTGGACACACACCTTTAATCCTAGCACTTGAGGAGCAGAGGAAGGCAGGCCTCTGCCTGGTCCATAGCAAGGCATCAAATGGGTAACAAGGAAGGTCATGAAAACAAGGGATCCAGAAATTAACAGGAATTTGAGAAGAGAAGCACTGAAGACTGGGAGAATCAGGTGCAGAGGAAAACGTGCTGTGGGTACTTATAACAATCACAAGTCCTGGCGATGACGTTGGAGTTGCAAAGTATTTCAAAACATTTTTTCCTCTTGTTAACAATACATAATTCAACTACATTTTTCCATGGGTCAGGACTATCAGCTTTATATACTACAGAGAATGAAGATGAAATGACACGAGAAACAGAAACAGAGGCACAAAGCAGCTTGGTTTACAGCCACCTCCTCCTCTTAAAAAAAAAAGAAAAAAGAAAAAAGCATTAAGTGACTTTGAACTGGGCCAAGTATACAGTGAAAAACCAGTAATAGCTAATTTTCCAGAGGCTGTTCCTGGATTCTAGTTAGTTTCTTCTTTTTTTGTTATGGGGAAGGTGTTGGGAAGACCTGCTTGGTCTCCTAACATTCCCATGTTTGGCAAAGGTTCCACTACTGAGCTACAACAATGCCAAACCCTCCTTTATTTATTCTGTTATAAATTTTCCAGATCTGCTAATATAGAAATAAATACCATAACATAGATGTTCTAGTTTGGTTTCCATTACTGTGATAAAAAACAAAAACAAAAAACAAAACAAAAAAAAAAAAACCTCTGACCAAAAGCAACCTTGGGGGAAAAGGCTTTCTCTGCTTACAGTCATAGTCAACTGGAAAAATCAAGGTAGGAACTCAAGGCAGGAGCTTAAACAGAAGCCAGGAGGAACGCTGCTCACTGGCTTGCCTGCTGCTCACTGGCTTGCCCCCAGCTTGCTCAGTCACCTTTCTTACACAGCCCAGACACACCTGCCCAGGGATGGCACCGCCCACAGTGGGCTGTACCTTCCTACATCAGGTATCAATGTAGAAAATGCCCTGCAGATGTGCCCATGACAAACTGATGGAGGAGAGTCTTCAAAAGAGACTCTGTCCTCTCAGCTATATCCAGAGGGTTGTGTCAACGTGACAGAAAAAAAAGAAAAAGAAAAAGAAAAGAAAATTCCATGACTAAAGGCATCCTAAAAGAGAAAGACAGAAATGGGCAAGGAAGCCAAGATGCTTATCAGCAAGGACCATTAAGATACTAGCCTGGTGTCTTGTAAGGATGGCTCAGACCTACAGGGCAGGGTGAACAGACACCTGGGAATCCAGAACCCTATAGACCCTCTCCTCCAAGAAAGAAAGGGAGGCTCTCTGGATCCCAAGATTGCTGGAGGACTTGTTCATAGTTCACAGGCACAAATGAGGCTTGATCTCACTAACAAAAAGAGGAGAAGAAAATGAAAGGAAGACAGCAGTAACAAGGGAGGAGTGGAGAAAGCAGTTCATGAGCAAATACACTGTGCTCCAGGGAGAGCCCAGGTCCTTCCAGATCTCAGCGCAGAGGACCACAAGGCAGAGACAGAGTCACAGCAACATCAGCAACAGCCACACGGGCTTCAGAATTCCCATGTGGCTCAACTCTAGAGTTCTAAGAGTAGGTGTCATGCTGGTTCCAGAAAGAAAGAAAAAAATGTCCTCCAAACTTGCTAAGAGAGAAGTTGAAGACAGGCGAGGTGCATGCTGGATACAGAGACAACATCGCTTAGGTGCTCCTGTCTACTGCCTCCAGAGAACTGCACAGACAGCGGAGTACGGAACCACATATTTGTTCTGGCTACCTATACACAGCCTTAAAGACCTGTGACAAGTCAAGCAGAAAGTAAACCACACATCTGTCCTACTACTCTTGAGTAAGCCTTAAAACACGAAGGGCCTACAGCAGGACTATAGCTGTGCACCTCGTTCACATCACCTGGGAAAAGAACAGCTTTTAAAAAGTGAAAACCACCCTTTGTTGGCTAACATCTGGAAATTAGAAAATGCCCCATTCGTTTAGGACACTGAGACCATTAGGCAGACTCATTTGGTTGTGCTTCACTTAAAGAGCATTTTCTGGCTAGTTTGCTTGGCTCTGTCTGTGGCCGTGAATTCCTTGGAATCTGTGGTACTTAGTACCAGAGCAGATGAGCAACCTGTCAGAAGGTATCTGACCAGGCTGTCCTGGAAGAAGACTGGGAGCACCTCAAACCACATTTGGAGAAGGTTGATATGTCTCTGGGTAAGCAGGACACGGTGGGTACTTACCACGCCTCCTGCCAGTCAATGGTGGCCTCCTATCCTTCCAACACATCTCTCGCAGTCACGGTTCCCTAAGTCACCACCCCTCAGATCCACAGCAGAACCCTCATCCCACAGCCAGACCACCAACGGAGGAGTATACTTACCAGTGAGGACCGGCTCCAGGTAGGCCGGCGTCTGATCGGGGGTGGAGAATTTGACTGTCTATATGAAAAGTTAAACATGAGAACCATCATTATTGCTGACCAAAAGTACCAGAGGTCAGACAGGCAGGAGGGGCTGAGGAGGGGGCAGGCCAGTGAGGCCGACCTGACAACACACACAGCGAACACAGCTCAAGTCTGTATACCCACAATGAGAACTCAGCTCCTTTGTCATTCTTCTTTTATCCTCAAGATGTTCGAAACACATTTTGTTCTGATTTTGTTTTTCGAGACAGAGTTTCTCTGTGTAGCCTTGGCTGTCCTGCACTTGCCTTGATGACCAGACTGACCTCGAATTTACAGAGTGTTCTACCTCTCTGAGTGCTGAAATTAAAGGCATGTGCCACCATGCCTGGCTAAAACAAATTTTTATAATGCTCTGCTCACTATTACTGAGAGGATAAAGTTTATTTCTAAAAAAATATTATGAAAGCCTGGGATAACCTCAGATCACATGGACTTCTAAAACAATATCAGTATGTACCTGTGTGCATGGCCATAATAAAAATATTTTGAAAATGCTTCCAGTTTAAATAGAACCCCAAAGTAGAGAAAACATTTTTTAGTTTGAACGGATAAAGATAGTACATGCTGCAAATGTTCACCAAGACTTATGTCTTTTCTGTTTGCTTTAAACTCTGTTCTGATATTAGGGGTCACAGCCAGCGCACAGTAGGCAAATACTCCACAACTGAGGTATGTCCCAACTCAGGAAATCTTTTGGAGAGAGCACTCCAGCATTGATTAAACAACAAGGGTAACGAGAGAGATGAAACAAGCAGGAACTGAGGGCATCCATTCTTGAGTGGATATCAGGGAGTCTCAGCACTACACAGCATTTTAAATAAATAAATAAATAAATAAATAAATAAATAGGTAGATAGATAGATAGATAGATAGATAGATAGATAGATAGATAGATAAATAAATAAAATGAGAACAAGATCCCGACTTTTCGTCAGGCTAAAACTCTTCAAATAAAGAGTCTCTCCTTATTTGGAGATCTCGCCCTTCTACCTGCTTGCTGGTAAGTATCTTTGCTTTGGAGAAACCATGGAGACGATACAGTAATGTTGAGTTTTTAGCAGCTGGTCAAACTCAGTGCCATCATTGCCAAGTTAAACATGGTCATCCCAACTCTTCCTTCCCGGGCCAAAGGTGCGGCAACCAAATCCTGGAGCAAGGCATCCAGCCAGCAAGGGCGGGTTCTGCGGGAGCAGATGCCCCATGCAAGCCTGAGGGACTCAAGAGTGGGCAGCTCTGGATGGAGAAGGAGGCTGCTGAGACAATGCAAGTTCTGCACACCTCGAGGGATATAGCACTGGGATCACAGCACTCAACATGCGTGTGGGAAAGTGGAGGCTCAGGTGCTTCCCACACAGAACAGAATTCTTGGTTTCCAGAGTTACATGTGATGTTCATGGATATCAGGAAAGACCGCAGAACACAGCAATGAGGACGTTTGCTGAGAAACAGTTAAGCCAGAGGACTGGCACTCTGAAAGGGGCTGATCTCGACCACACAAAAGTGGGCTACAGTCTCCTTGATGGTGTCAAGGCCACCAGGCAAATTCAACGGCAAAAGAACTAGAACTATGCATGAGTGTGACAATGTGGGTGCAGAAGGCGTGGCTATCTCCTTGCTTGGCCCTTCTAGCCCATCCTTGCTAAGGCTGCTGGTAGGCCTAGACTATGAGATGTACTTTAAGGTCCCAGCAGGGACCGGTTGCAGTGCCTGGTTTGAAAGAGCCTGAGCTGCACGGAGGGAAAAAACTATGTGTATTGACTTGGGTCCCCAGTTCTGAGCAGCTGCCTTCTCCGGAGGCACCTGCTGTCCAGCCATATTCTACCCTGCTTGGATTGCCCACGGTGGGAGTGGAAAGACAGCTTCTCTCGGGCGTTTCCATCCCTGATGCTCTTTGAACCCAAATTAAACACCTTGGGGGCCCATGAGGCAACTGCATTCTGCTGGGAAACGCCTTTTGAAAGCAAGCAAAGGAAAGGCGAGGGGCAGAGGGGGCCCTCGGCACGCCATCTCCGAGGTCAGGCCATGAGGAAGTGCCCTCAATCAGATTTATTATCTTTATTTCTGAACTAAATTAAATAGACATCCGGATACATGCCATCTCGGAGTGCCTTCCAAAGCCCCTCTAATTACCCTGGCCTCTCATTTGCCGTCAGATGGCACGACCCAGGAGCGCACGCAGGGTTAGCCAACTGTGAGCGGAAACAGGCAGAGCCTGTGGCAGCATCTTCTCTTTTAAGTTGCTCATCACTCTGCTCCCCACTTCTGAATCTACTCCACATCTAACACGGAGGGGCACCTGGGCAAATTGGGAACAGCTGGGCTCTTCCGAACTCAGAGCCGAGAGCCAGAAAGGCACTGATGTGGCCTACCCATCCTCGAAGTTAAGCCTTTACAGTCAATTTGGGACTGATCGTCTCTCTAGGAACGTGGACAGCAGTAGACTGCACTTAAACTTCTCTCCCTCCTGACTGGCTTTCGTCTCTTCCTATGGCTTCTAGAGGATCAAGGGAAAAGAATGAATGGAAACAGGGGACCACAACTCCACAGAAGCACTCGATTTAATAGGACTAAGCCATTCAGAGAAAGCATGAACTAAGCATTCACTTACTCGGTGCAGATCTTGTTCTGTTTGTAAAATTTGTGCCGTATTGTAAATAACCGAGAAATGTACTTGGCATTTTCGATATCATCCTTGGAAAAAAAAAAAGATGGGAAAAATGAGCATCTGTTTGATTAGATATTTGCTTCATGAAGATTGCTCTGCACAGACATTAATCCCTCCCCTGTCATCTGAAGAACAAAATAGTAAGCCAGACCAAGAAGTGAATCAACCATTGATTTCCATAGTGCTACCATGGCCAGCAGAGACAGCAGAAATGACCGTTGCTAGTGAATTCTTCACGTCAGAGGCTCTGGGTCAGCAGTGAGAAATGAACAGGTTCCACTAATTCTGAGCCAGAACTTTCAAAATAAATAACTGAATGAAGGCAGCGCCTGCAATCAACACCAATGTCATTCAGCCAGAGACAGAGTGGTGAGGGCACAGCCTCAGCTCCAGACAGTGTGGGTCATGAGCAAACTCAGGAATCCAGGCCAGCCAGCAGCAGACGATGCAATAAGACATGATTAGAAGTCACCTGAGTGACCAGAGTGCTGGAGCACACTGGACAAACAAATCTTAGTGCCAGGGCCAAAGGGAGCACTCATCACTTGCAAGAAGTCATGCAGGACCAGGCAAGTACTAGAAAAAAAAATCTCTCTAATAGCACTGAGCTCCTTATGGAGTGCAGGTGTGTCCTATATGCAGCCATGGACCCCAGGGCTCTGAGGAACATAACCCGAAACTGCCATAATGAGGGAAGGGTGCGCAAGCGCACACGTGCGTGCGTGTGTGTGTGTGTGTGTGTGTGTGTGTGAGAGAGAGAGAGAGAGAGAGAGAGAGCAAAAGAGAGAGAGAGAGACTTAATTAAGCAGTCCTTAAGTGTAGACATTATAGATGGTGTGTCTCACCATCAGAAGGCTGGACGTGGAGAATGAGGCAAAGGCACTATAAGCTTTAAAAAGCCCCTCCTCAAGCTGTGCAGGCCCCTGGACTCACTGTGTGGAAGAGCGCTGTCTCCTCCTTGTCAATCAGCTCCAGCAGGATGGCTGCTTTGCTATGGGTGACACTCCCAATGTCATTCCACCTGGGCCAAAGAAACGTGACAAGGCTTACTCAAAGACGTCCATGTCATCATCTTACAGTTGTGATTTAACTATTTAACTATTCGTTCTTTTTAACAAACGCTTACACAGTCCACCTCTCAAAGGAGGAAATGGAAAGGAATGCAATACGTACTTAGGTAACAATTTGATTTAAAATATATCTGCAGAGTGACATTCATGAAATGCTTTTTTCTTTATGGGTAGCTACCAGAAAAGTCTGTGAAGTTCTTGTTACCCTGCTCCCAACCTTTTCACTGATGAGGCACTCCCCCCCCGAATGTTTTAGTGACCCCAAAGTATAGTCAAAGTCCTGTTTCAGGGCACACATTCATTGTGCCACCTTGGAGAAAGTGCACGGTGCCTGCTTACATCTCTGCACACGGGTGATCTAGACACACACACACACACACACACACACACACACACACACACGCACACACACACGCACGCACATACACACGCACATGCTTTCCTTGCCTGTTTTCAGACACCTGTCAACAGGCTGTGCAGGGACTGACTCAGTGCCGTGGATGCAGGCATGATGATGACACAGAGGCCAGCCATGTGCGGGGCATGTGGTCTGCCCAGGTCTCGGGAGAAATCTAATCCTGGAAGCAAGTTCCAGACACAGGAAATAAATGGTTGCTTCCCTTTCTACTTGGAGCCAGTTCCTGGCCATCTTTTTAATGCTCCAGCTCCCACCCATGCCTTTTGCACTCCACCATGCTCACTGGGTTTGTTTTCCTTCCTTCCTTCCCTTCTTCCTTCCTTCCTGTTTTTTTAAGCAAAAGGTTTCAAGTATTCCAGGCTGATCTCAAACTTATAAGTAGCTTCAAATGACCTTGAACTTCTGACCCCCTGGATCCCCCCCCAACACAGTGCTTATATGCTGCCCAAGACTGGCTTCTTGCAGGCAGGCAAACAGTGCACAATCTGGGCTCCATCTCCAGCTCTTTAAGACTCAGCTCTGGAGCCTCATGCTCTAACAAGCCCTTCCTCATTCCCTGTACCCACCCTGTCTCAGAGCTGCTGGGGTGCTCACTCCCCACCACCCTGTTCTCAACTCTGGGATTAGATCTCTCCCAGGACTCTGGCAGACTGCAGGCTCCTCACCCAGTGTGTCTCCAGGTCTGCAGTCTCTGCCCTGGGCCAGCCTCCTGCAGAAGTCGGTCCTTACATCCTGTCTAAGGCGGGAAAAGCAGCTGGTTGGATCTTCCTTAGAGCAGACGCAGTTAGACACTGAGGAAAACCCGACTCCCTGAGTCAGGGACCGGTGACACAGGGTCATCACACTTATCCCTGTCACCTGCCCACTCCAGAACAGCCGTGCTCCCCACACAGGCCTGGGAGTCCTCTCCCCTCTCTACATGCTCCCTGACACAGACACCTGGCTGAGCAGCTGTCTCCTGCTGTTAGGATCTCAAGAGACAGGAGCGGCTTCTCTCTTCCAGATAAATTCCTTCCAAACTTCAAAACTCCACAGACACTCTGCATCCTGTGCCCGCCTGGAAACAGCTCTCGAGGGAATGGAACAAGCCCTGCCAGGGGCTTCCGGTTCTGACATTTGCATGTGAGTGTTTCAGTTCAGCAGCAAATGTGTGTGTGTGTGCTTGTGTGTTTGTGTGTGCGTGTGTGTGTAATCCAGGGAACAACTGTGGTATCATTCCTCCGTCACCATCCACCTTGGATTTTTACAGTCTCTCCCTGGTCTGGAACTTGCCAAGGACATTAGCCTGGCTAGCCAGTGAGCCGCAAGGATCCACCTGCCTCTACCCCCCCCCCCCCCGCCTTGGTTTCCAAACCCTTTTCTTTTTTTTTTTTTTTTTTTTTAATGTGGGTTCTGGAGAAGAACTCAGGTCCTTGCAAGACTTGACCAACTGAGACACTGTTCCCCAGCCCTTAAAAAGTTTAAGTCCTAAGGTCTCTGTCTTCATCCTAGCTTCAAACAGCAAGGGGGTGAAATCATAAAGATAATGGTGGGATGGTTTGGGCTAGAAAAGGTGTAGAAATGCAGTTTTCTGGATCTCTATCTGATCCAAACAGCTCATGCTGGAAGCTTCCGGGCCGGAGAAGCCTGCGCTTTGCCTGCTAGAGCTGTGATTTATCCCCTGCCCCAGACGCACTGCTACTTCCATCAGATTCTGTCAATCAGCACATGGCCATGCTGCCCTAGTACACACAGGTGAGCATGCTGACATCACGGAACCTACAGGCAGCCGTGCAAAGAGCCAGCTAGTGGGCATGCATGGGATGGGAGACGTTCACCGCACCCCTGGCCAGGGTCTGCTTGTACTACATGAAAAAGGAGGTTAAAGAGTCCACAGAATTAAAGAAAAACTCAGGTCGCCTCCTTTGTTACCTCTTCTAAGGTAGGCCTTTGCAAGCCTTGCAGGCCTTTTGTTAGTTAGTATATAGCTTGTACTAGTTCAGCGCATGGTCAGATACAGGGTTCGGAGCTGTGGAAAGAGCACCGTTTCTGTCTAATGGCCAGGGGCTGTCCCAACAACAGCAACCAGAGGGCCTGAACCTGCTCTTCCCACACTCGGGTCCGCCCCATTGACTCAGTGGACTTGAAATGCACATTTCCTGCAGTCAGGGAGGAAGGAGTGGAGCTTCAACTCCTTTCCCTAGCCTGAACTCCACTAATTTCATCTGAACCAAGAAAATGCAAGTCACTCAGGTCCAGCGTGGCTCTCAACTCACTGCTCAAAACAGTCACTGGCAGCCTATGGCCTGTGACGGGAGGGGAGGAGAGATTACCTGTATATCACGGCCTGTCTTCCGATTCTGTTCCTCACGAAAATGCCCATGAAGAAAATGCCGAGCTGCACGCTGTTGCCATGGTTGTCCTGAGGAAGAGCAACAGAGGCATTCGTCACCACCATGCCCATATCAAACATTCACAAGAGCCAAGGTCACCCAGCCTGAGGGAGATGGAGACACGGTGTGGAGCGGCGAGCACAGACTGCACGCGTGGAGGACTACTGCAGACTTTAACAGGGGACTCTGGCGCTGGTAACTGGGCCTCAATGTGCTAAGTGAAATAAAGGCACGGGGGGCAAACACTGTACTCGCTGAGATGGGGTGGAGCTCTCCAGAGCAGGGAGTGGGGTGGCATGCAGCAGAGCTCAGGGGGGCAGGGGTGAGGGGATGGGGGCCAAGACAAAAGCTTCCATTGGCAACAAAGCCAGGGACCCACTAAAGCCAACAGCTACACCTGCAAAACAGGTGTCATATTTGCTCCACAAGAGAATGCCCAGACTGTGAGCTGGCTTTATCTCCCCACAGTACATGCAGCTAGATCTCTAAATATTCTGTACAACATAAATGCATATCACTGAATTTGTCGTTTTAAAAATGCAGACACCTACAAGGCAAGAGCCAGCACCAACCTTAAGCATTTGTCTGCAGTCTGCCCTCAGGCACCCTACCCATCCAAGCCCACAGGTGGGATGAAGCCAGTTCTGGCTGCTTCCTAAATGCCCGGCAGTGCTGGGCTGCGGTGCCCGCAGGATCCTGAATGGCTTGTGTCTTTCTTTTCCGCATTCTTTTTAGAGACAATTTTTAGGATTATCCTCAAATTTGTTGCCCTCTACTGAATTTTTAGTTAGTTTCCCTTTTTCTTTCATTCTCCTTTTTATTATTATTATTTTTTTAAAGAAAAAGCTCTCCACCCACACTCTTTGAAGACCTGGGTATCGCTTGGGTTTGTGGAAAATCTCTCCTACTCTTGCTGCCCCAACCCCAAACCCCACCCCACCACAGCTCCACCTGGGGTCCAAGTCCTGCTGTCTCTCCAGTCCTTCAATGCTGGCCCTCATGCCCTCGGCCATCCCACCCCCATAAGCATCCCCTTCCTTCCCTCAAGCCCCTCTTTTCAGGGCCCAAATTACTCAGATATGAAACATTCCAGTGGCCTGCTATTTTTTTCCTCCTGTCTCCCACTTTCCATGAGCAGGCCTTGATGATCTTTCCTCCGTTTCACCCTTTAATTTCTGTTATCTTCCACCTGTACTGTGTAATTTTTAAACGCTTATTTTTGTTTCAAGGGTCTTTTGCCTGCATGTGTGTCTGTGCTCTGTATGCATGCCTGGTTCCCACATGAGACAAGGAGGGGGCAGACTCCCTAGCACAATAGTGAAGGACATCCGAGCTGTCCTGGGAGCTGGGAACCAAACCTGGGGCCTCTGCAAGAGGCTTGTTTCTGATTTCTGAAAAAATTTTACTGTCTTAATGATAGTTTTGTTTTGTTTTAAGGGTCTTATTATCACACACTGTCAAGAAACTCACTGTGTGGCCAGGACTCCTTCTCCCACCTCCCCAGCGCTGGCAGGACAGACATCTGGCACTGTCTAGCTTACAGGACGGAAGATGAACCCAGGACTCTGTGTGCCAGGTAAGCGCTATACCAAATGACTCTTCCCGAAGCGCCTGCCTCTGCCAGGCTGCTGGGTTCTCATCACATCAGCCCCTGATGCAAACAGCTGGGCATCCCACAGGGAATGCCTGGCTGTCCGTTCACACTAACGGTGTACTCTCAGGGTGACTGGGAATTCTGTGACACGGGTCAGCCTTGTGAACTCCACTGGCTGGCCGCCTGCAGGCCCTCTGCTAAAGACTCGGGGATGCCTTGTGTTCAGCTTGTGTTCTTGGGCCAGTAAGACGCCTCCCACCCATTTCTTGGGACACCTGGCTGCCAGGGTTGTGAGAACAGAGCGGGTGTTATCACCAGGTCCCCTGCTTTCACCAGAACAGGAAGTTTTCCTGGTGCAAGAGGGGTGGTCATGACAGCAGGAACAAAGATGGAAGGCAGGACTTCCATCCCTCGGGGATAGGGACCCTCCCTCAAAGCTGATGTCACAAGTCTAGGGCCTCTGTTACTATGGGAGCACTCAGCCAGCAGTGTGTGGAGAGTGAAGAAGGGCAGACGGTGCTCAGGGAGGGCTGGGACATTTCGGGGAACCGCCTATGGGAAAGCTGGCTCCAAATGGAAGCACACACAGGGACCACACTGTCTATCTCTCTGTCTATCTCTGTACACGCTGCTGTCTACTTGTGCAAGCTTCTTCCAGGCAGACCACCCCACCCCCACCAGCTTCACCTCCCACCTGCCATCCTCGGCCACCAAGAATCATGCAGTCTCTGGATGGTCACCTCCATCAGGGACAGATATACTGGGGGAATCTAGCAGCTCAGTCAAGTTCCCCTCCAAAATCAGCTGAACCTGCTAGAACACACTGAAGCTACACAGCAGACTTCAGCACTAGCTTAAGGTTCCGCCCTTCCTAGAATTCAGACACTAAACAGAAACAAGCAAATGGCGGCAACAGCGAAACCCCAACTCCCAGGCAAAGAAGGTGCTGTCATAGAAGAGAGAAGAGTTCACTGATTTCTCAGTGACTCAGAAGTCATGACTGTACCTGGGCTGCTGTGAGTGCGCTGCAGAGGGCCTCGCCAGGCGAGGCCGCAGGAAAATGGATGACAGCCCCGCCAAGGGCGGCCATCAGAGAAGCAAGAGAGAAAGTGAGCCAGCCGTTCAGCCCTTCCCACCACTCGCCACCCGCTTTATTCTGCTCGATGCCCACAGGCAGTTCTCATTAAGGCAAACTGCAGGCGAGCAACAGAGCAGGAGCAGAGTGTGCATGAGGCAGCCAGAGGGGTCAGCGCGGAGTGGAGAGTGTGCCGAAGTTCACAGGCATCTCCCAGACCGCCGGGATGTGCCAGCCGTGCTAGGTTTCAGACAGAACTCCGTCTTTTGAAGAGTCCGTCAGGAGGGGGTTAAATGCATTACGGTTAGGGGCTCCATGGTGCGTCCAGCCACACCCACGCCAGTGGGTGGGACAGACAAAAAGGATGAGGTGCACTGTAGCGATTTCCTAGGCATGGTTTCCACAAGATGCCCACCACACACAGCTCTGCAGAGCTGGAGAAATGAAACTCAGTTGCGGATTAGAGAAGTTTCAATCTGCCGCACAACAACCGTCCCCAAGGCCAAAGAAAAGTAAAGAGAAGAAGCACAAGAAGAAAACTTGACACTTTAAGGTGATGGACACTCATGCGTGGACTCATCTAGATGGCTGTCCGGTAACTGAAGATGATCTGCTGAAGATCAAACCCACAGTCTCTGAGCTAAGAAAGCGTTTGCTTGGCCTAATGTGAGCTTAGCGCTTAACTGCTGTGTTTAGGATGAGGAATGTCCTCTACAAGCTCATGTCTTTGAAAACTTCATCCCCGGCTGGGAGGACTGTTTGGGAGGTTACGGAACCTTCAGGAAGCAGAACCTCGCTGGAGGAAGCAGGCCACTGGGGACAAGGCCTGAGGCGTCATAGCCCAGCTCTACCTCCTGTTGACTCTGCATCCTGGCTGCTTCTGCGATATGACTGGCCGCCTCACAGGCCTTCTCCAGCACCATGGACCGTACCCCGTGAACTGTGAGCTAGAATAACCCTTCCTCCTTTAAGTTGCTCCTTGTCGGGTCTTTTGTGCCAGGGAGGAAAAAGTAACTAATGCATCAACTAATGTCACGTGACACTAAGAAGCTGAAGGAATCCACAGTAACTTTGAAAACATGCAGGGGCGGGAATGGTGTGTTACCTTCACCGGGAAGATCTCCTGCCCAAATCCATCCAAACGTTCTACTTCATTGATGTACATCAGCTCGGCTTCTGCGGGCAGGATCCCACTACAATCGGCACAAAGCGAAACGGTTAGCAGTGCCAAGTCAGTGGAAGCCCCCAGCATCCTAGGGGCAGCTCCCAGAGCTGTGCCAAGGCCTGGGTTTTGGGGACAGCAATCGTGTCCACCTGGGAAGTGTGGCACTGAAATCTGGCTGCCTTTTACTAAACAGAGGGTGAGAAAAGGAAGGCAAATTACTCAGTTAAGAGACAAAGCCTGAAAAGCAATAATTATCCCACAAGTCCCCGTGGACAATGCCGTCTGCTTTATGAAGGTGCCATTTTGCTCACGACTATGAAAATTCACAATTTTAAGATGGAAAACTTTCATAGGAGGAGGAGGGAAGGTGGAGGGGAAGGAAGAGAAGATGGAAAGGGAAGAGGGGTGGAGAGGAGGATGGAAGCAGAGGAGCAGAGCCAGGAGAGGGTGGGGCATGAAGGCCCTGCCCCCCGGAAGTGCTGCGCTGGCTGAACAGGCTGTCAGTCTCCACCTGCCTTACCTGTGGGCTTTGTGCTCCTGGGCCACCTTCTGGGTCAGCTCCTCCAGAACAGCCTCCTCCAGGGCCAAATCCTGAAAAAAGAGGAGCACTCAGACCAGGGGTGGTGTCTGTCAGTGGCTCCCTTGTCAGAGGTCCCCAGTGACAACGCCCCCCCCCTCCAGACCCTGCACACACGCAGAAGAATGGGCTCAAGAGTTTGGCTTCTGCTACTGCAAACAGCTCTTCACCTCAGACAGTGGGCCCAGGCCAGTTTTTTCTATCTGTCTTCTTCTCTGTCTGTCTGCCTCCCACATATACTTTTATTAACTGCTTGGTAAGTACTTGTGTAGTTTGTGTGTATATATTCATGCGCACAGGCATGCGCACACGAACATGCGTGTACAGGTATGGAAGGTAGAGAGCCCTCGGTTCTTGCTCCTACACTGAGGAGGTGTGCCCATCTTGGTGGATTGGGTTGTTGTTTGTAATTTTTTGATGAAGACAAGGACTATCTGTAGCCTGGAGCAGGTAGGCTAGGCCAGTTAGCCAGAGAGCACCAGGACGTGCCTGGTTCTGCCTCCCAGCCACGGGATTGCAAGCCAGCTTTTCTTTTACACGGGTTCTGAGAATCAAACTCATGTCTTAGCAAGCACTTTCCTGCCCAGCTGTCTCCCAGGCCTGTGGTTTGTGTTTTTAATGATTAGGGCAGAAGCCACTGAGTTTCCAAACCAGCCTTTTTAGGAGGTGACCACTGGAATCAATGTGCCAGGACTTCTGTCTTCCTCTAAAATCCTAGGCGGTGAATTTAAACTGCACGGTGGCAGAGCTGGTTCCTTCTGGCATTCCTCGCTGCTCAACTGAGGGGCTGGAATGAGTCTCAAGGAACTTTTGTAGGACCGCACATGTGTGGCTGTCTCCTTAGTGTCCTAGCCAAGAGGAACACATGGCTCTCAGGCACCAAGAGGGCAAAGCATGCACCTTTGGCTTCTGAGCTCTCTCTGGAGGTGATGGCTAGAGTCTCTGAGCCACATCCTGCTGAGGAAATGTGAGTCTCCCTGCTCATCCTATCCGGGGTTTAGGGCTGAGGCTGACATCTGGACGGATCCATACAAAGTGGAAGCATGAGGACCTCAGGCCTATCCTTAGACTCTATAAGAAAGAACACTGGCTTGGGTGGCTCGTGGCCTTCAGTACAGGTGCCGGAGCAGTGGGAACTGGTGAAATGGTTGGCTGGTGCAGCTCACAGACTGGAAAGGTGGAAACTGGGTCTCAATGGCCTGAGGACGTAGCCTAGTGGGTGAGCTCCAGGCAAACAAGACACCCAGACTTGAAACCCAAGGTAGACCATTGCTCTAAAAATGATATCCAAGGCTGCCTTTTGGATACACACACACACACACACACACACACACACACACACACACTTTTAAATAGCACTTAGATAGAAGTTTACTCCCAGTGTCTTAAGCCTGCATGGGTGCAACCCTTACACCACCCCCAAAATGGACCCTTAACTATTAAGAACTACTCCATCTCAAAACTGCTGTGTGAGAAATTGGTATGGCTGAAAGCTGAAAAACTGAGCCCATAGCTACAGAAGTTCTGCTCTGAGGATTCTAGCTGGTTGTAAGCTCCTGAGAAACAGAAAGAAGCAGGTGGACGGAATGGGCTCTTTATTTGTCACGTTACTGAAGGCCATCTATGGCCACTGAGAGGACCGTAAGGAAGTCAGCAAGCTTCCTGTTGTGAGGCTGGAGGAGTGCTGTGTCCTGAGACACTGGCTGTGTGCACGCATCTTAGATAGCCTAGCAGGTGCTAATTCTGAAAGGCATAAAGGGACAGAATAAACTAAGTAAGATCAAACGGCTCCATTAAACCTTCAGTTCCGACTTTGAAAATCCCCAAAGGCACCCTTCTGCTATTATACTCAACTCAATGCCTCCACCTGCATGTATGTGTGAGGGGGAGCAGGGGGCTGAGGTATGCACGCCCCAGAGATGTGTGAGTGTGGCAGGGGCTGCACAACAAACGGCAGGGTGTGTGCCACAGCCACACACCTGTGGAACGTCTGTGCACTTTGTTCTTTCCTCTGCTGAAGAAATGGCACCTGACAACCCGGGGACTAAGCAAGATCAAACAGGGCCGATCGTCCTGTCTTCCCTCCCCCGGCAGAGGAATGCATGCTTGCTCCCCTGTGAAAGCTCCAGTAGAGCTAAGCAGAGAGCTGACAGCTTTCCATGGCTCCCCACTGCTTGCACAATTAGGCCGACACCTGGGCCTGGCATCTGGGCTTTCTTCAGTGGGACCCAGCCATTCCTTCCAAACCTCCTCCCCTGAGAGGTCAGAGCCTCAGGCAAGCTTCTGCTCACAACACAGCTTCTACTGTTTCCATTTCCACTCGTGCCCTCAGTTCTGGGAAGAGCCCCACAGCACCACCACGGAATGGCTCTCACCGACCTCCACGGCGCCCTCCCTCCCCTGGACTTACCCTTCTGCTGGGGGTGCCCTCGGACCTTCTGCATGTTCTGTCTACACTGCTTCTCCTGCAGTTATCTGTATACCATCCTATCTCATTCCTTGCTCTACTTCACCTGCTAGCATACAGGCAGCAATCCCTCACATCCCGTGAGGAACCAGTCATGGGGCTTTTGCACAATGGCCCTTCCACATTCATAATACAAAGTAAGTGGTCAACAAATACTGACTGAACTAAACTCGGTGCACAGCAGGTAACTTTCACACTATCGAACAAGAAGCTTTGATTATACAAAACTGGTTAACAGCAGTTTGTCCCTCTGCTTCTCCTGTTGGCCTACATTTCAAAATGCACACAGTGGCATTATCAACTCATATTTACATATAATAGGGACAGAAACTGTAATAGTTACTGTAGTAACGACACATCCAAATGACTGGTTACTGAGAATTTACCCTGGACTAACTTAGGTACATACCCGTCCAGGCATTTTCCTTGGTCATCACAGCGGGATTTACTCTCATCTCAGAGGGAAGACTGAGGCTTAGAGTAATCCACTAACCTGCTCCAGGCTGTATGGCCAGTAAGGCTGTCAGCCCCAATACAGCCTTGGCAGCATCCAGCAACTGTGTGGTAAACTTTTAGACCACAGACCACCCAGGACAGACCATGGCAGGATGGAGCGGAGAAGCATACTCAGAAGAGAGGTGAGGGCTGGGGTCCAAGCCAAGACACACTCCCAACCCAGCACAGGCGGCCACCAGCTTTACACTCAGCGCTTCGCAGGGAGACTGTGCAGGAAGATAGAATTACTTCTGCTCGTCCCACACAGCAGCCCCTGGACACACCACGACCACCAGGATAAGGCCAACACAGCTAGGGAACTCAATCTCTAATTTTATTTTACTTTAAATTTGAATAAAAACACCCCCTTGGGGCTAATGGGGAACCACTCTGAAGAGAGCAAGCTTAGATCTAAGAACAATGATCTCAGGCAGGCTAGCTTGATAGCACAAGTTCAAGGCCGACCTAGGCTACATAGTGAGTTCAACATTATCTTGGACAACTTCGTGAGACCTTGTCTCAAAATTTAAAAAAAAAAAAAAAAAAGTACAAAAACAGCTGGGAGCATGCTTTGCCCCCCAGGGTACCTGTCTGGCCAAGTTCATCCCTTTAATGGGGAGAGGGCGGGCGGCAGGGCTGTTAGAGAGAACAGTGGAGAAGGGCCTATGGCCGGGTGGGCAGTGGGCACTACTTGGCAAGCTGAGCTTCAGAAGGCTCTTGTTCAGGGCAAATGCAAGGCCACGGACAGGACAGTGCCGGGGTCCCGAGGAAAACCTCCAGGAAGGCGCTCCTCAGCTACCCATGTGTCTCAGCACAACTCACTGGAAAGAGGCGCCAGGACCTGGGAACTGCAGACTCCGCCCTTTGGACTCAGACGGGCGCCCATAACGGTCTCTGTTAGATGCGGCAGTGGCCACCACACAGGATCCAAGAACTCTCACTCCTCAGAAGCCTTGGGTCTCAGCCACCATGATTCGGTCCCCTCCCAGGAGATATAGCAAAAGTGACAGCGGACTCTTTCCCAAATTCCTCTCTTCTCTGTCCTGATCATGCCTGTCGCCTCTGTTCTAGCTTTCACACACACAGTGCCCTTTGAGACACAGCTGACACCCCAGTCATGCTGAGGCTGTTCTAAACCCTGAGGTGCAAAGCCTGAGTGTACTTCCGGATCTGTGAATCCGCACTCTGACTTGGGGAGTCTCGCCCTGGGGACGGGCAGGGCCCCAGTCAGTTCCTGCATAGCTTCAGGCTTCATTGCCGGGCGTCTGTTATGCAGGTCAGTATTTGGAACAAAACAACTGAACAAAAAAAAAAAAAAAGGAAACGAAGAGAAAACCGAGTGAATGACTGTCTCTGCAACGGAGCACACACGGGGCTGCTGGCAGCTCAGCTCCTCCACACTCCATCTTGAGTGTGCAGACACCCTCACTAGAACTCCTCTCAGGAAAGCCACAGATTTCCCCAGGGGTGATGCCTTTTCCAGTCAGCTCAGGACTGGGCAGTTCAGTTCACTGGTTCATTCCAGAAATGTGTAGGTGCACCTACTGTGTGGCAGACGGCAGGGGGACCCAGGCCTGGCACTTTTTTAACTGGCACACGTAAATAACCGGAATGAAGAAGTTCAAACGTGGGAGGGACTGGGAAGCGCTCGCCCAGCCCAGGAGCAAGTGTGTGAATGGGACATGCTGGGCAGACAGTAAACTGTTCCTAAGGAGCGGGCAGGGGAACAGCGACCTCAATGACACATAAATCCAGCAGAGCACTTGCCAGCAGAGGATACCAACTCCCAAGACCCGGGGAAACTCAGTATGTTCAGAGGAATGTGGAGGGGTGACGAGCACTCAGCAGAAGTGTCTCCAGGACAGGCAGTAGCCATATGCACTCCTGAGAAGATCTTGTCTCTTCTGGACCTTCCTCATGGCTGTGCTGACACATACCCTAGCAACTGAGTGGTGGTCACAAGTCCCTTCTCCCCACGCCCTCACTAACATTCATGATCGTTCACTGATGGCAGTTATCCCACCAGGAATGAAGCAGCACACCATTATAGATATTTCCTCATGATCAATGATGCTGAATATTCTTCACATGCCTCTTGGATTTTATTTTTATCTTCTTTTAAGAAAGGTCACGTGCCCATTTTGTAACAGGGTTATGTGTTTTCTTATTATCACATTTGAGTTCCCACAGATTTGGAGACAAGTCCCTTGTCCAAGATATTTGCAAATGTCTTCTCCTCATGGGTGAGCTTTGCTGTGCAGAAGTTCTTTAGTTTGATGTGACCCCTGCTGCTTTTTAATTCCTTGTACTTCAGGGGTCATATATCAGAAACCATTGCCAAGACAAAGATCTTGTAGCATTCCCTCTGTCTTCCTCTAAGAGTGTTAAGGTCACACAGGGCTTATGTGTGAATCTTACTCCACCTGCAACTCACTCATACACTCTGGGTGAGTAAGGCCCCAATTCCGTTCCAGCTCTCCCAACTCAACATACTGAACACACTGCCCTTTCCCTTGACAACCTTGCTTTCTTTGTCAAAAGCAAATTGGTTGCATGTGTGTGTGGATTTGTTTCTGAACTCCGTTTTATTCCAGTGGTCAATGTGTCTCCTAGTGCCATGATGTGTCAGTCATGGCCACATGGTGTCTTCATTTGGTTATTATGGTTGTGATGAAACACTACGACCAAGAGCCAGCTGGAGGGAAAGCCCTTAATTAGCTTCTGTATCCATAGTCCATCACTGTGGGAAGTCAGGACAGGAACTCAAACAAGGCAGGAACCTGGAGGCAGGAGCTCAGCAAAGGCCATGGAGGATGCTGCTTACTGGCTTGCCCTTCGTGGCTTGCTCAGCTGCTTATAGACATCAGCCCAGGGTTGGCACCACTGACAGTGGGCTGAGCCCTCCTCCATCAATCACAAAGAAAATGCCCTACGGGCATGCCTACAACCTGATCTTATAGAGGCATCTTTTTCAAATGGAGTTCCCTCCTCTCAGATGTAATCTTGAATTTCTCTCATCAGTGTTTTAGAGTTGTCACGGTATGAGCCATTCCGCTCCTTGAGGGAACTCACCCCTATGTTTCACATGTGTTTATGCTCCTACAAACTAGTCCAGTTTCTGCATCTTCTCGCCAACCTCCCTACCTCTCCTCTCCTGTGGTTCTGGGGATTGAACCCATGGCTACACAAGCTAGGAAAGTGACCTACAATGAGCTACTTCCAGCCCACTCTGACCACTTGCATTCAAATGGTACAAGCAGCCTAGCTGAAATAATCACAGCAATAATAGGTAGATAGGTGATAGATAGATAGATAGATAGATAGATAGATAGATAGATAGATAGATAGACAGGTAGACAGGTAGACAGATAGATAATAGATAAATGATAGACAGATGATACAAATAAATAGATGATAGATGACAGAAAGATAGATAATAGACAAATGATTAATAGATACAGAAAAATGATAGATAGATGATAGATACAAATAGATGATTGATACATAGATAGATAGATAGATAGATAGATAGATAGATAGATAGATAGATAGACAGATAGACAAAGCTCTACATGTGAAAGGAAGAGGTAAAATAGTCTATACTTTCTGATTACGTGACAGTTACATAAAAACTCCGAGATTCTATCAAAAACATAAACAATACCATAAGAACGGATAAACTTTAAATCAACCCACAAGACCTGGTGCTATCTCTCTCTACTACCAAGGTCCTGTCTTGGGAGCAGGGGGTCAGAAAGCAGGGAGTTGGGGTGGAAAGAGACACCCTTATATCCTGATGCTTCATAAAACTCGCCCCTATGTTAAAGCATGCAGACCTCCTCCCCAGGAAGCACAGAGAATTTCAAAATAAAGAACGAAATGCCCCAGGAAAGTAAAATCCAAGAAAAAAAAATGAGCTCACCATCGGAAACAGCACATATTCTCGGAGGAATTCTTGGGAATCAAATTGGTTATAGTCTCCAAAGTCAGCTGGGAAGAAAAGACAGGGGAACAATAACAGTCATTACATAAAGACAAAGACAGAATAAATCCAGCAAACTTGTGCCTACCTATGCCTGTCTACTGCACTCTCTCAGCTGCCCATTAGACAAGAGCAGTGACAAGATACATCTGCGGGTGTCCCCACTTTCACCTAGCAACCATTAGGATATCCACCTAGCAACCATCAGTATATCTGCAGGCGTCCCCACTTTCACCTAGCAACTGTCAGTATATCTACCTGGCAACTGTCAGTATATCTGCAGGCATCCCCACTTTCACCTAGCAACTGTCAGTATATCCACCTAGCAACTGTCAGTATATCTGTGGTTGTCTCCACTTTTGCCCAGTACCTGTCAGTACTGGCATATGAACGCCACTAGATGATTTTTAGAAAGAGAGGGAAATTTGGAAGCAAGCCCTAACGGCTATTTAAGACTTTCAAACAAACCTGTATTTGTTTGTTGAGTATGTACCAGGCTGGTATCTCATGCCTGTCTGCCAAGGGGACTTTCTAAGTCAAGGTTAATGTGAAGAAATGTAGCTGGAAATGTATCTGCCGCTGGAAACCCCCACTGTAAATCACCCTTGGCAAGCAACCTCAAAGATCTTCACACCTCCTGAATGCATTTACATGTCACAAGGAGCCAGGAATTCTGCTCTTCCCCACTGCCATCTCCCAATGGTATGCCAGGGCACGTGCATACTAAATCCACAGAAATACCTTGCCTTTCTCTGCCTAGCTTTTACAAAATCCAGTCCCACATGGAAAAGGTCCTCTGGGGTCGGACTGCCAAAGTCTCTCTCTGCTTTTGAAAGGTTCCAGGGTCCAGGGTAGGATCTGGGACAGGATGCTGAGTTCTCTGTTCACTTTATCTCTTGGGTCACTGAGCTGATGTGGCTCAGGCAACCAATCAGCAAACAGCCAGGAAAGATGATTGAAAGGAAAAGTAGGGGAGGGAGCCCAGGATTCCTTCTTTAGGATTAGTGACTGGCTACACTGCTGCAAAGGTAGAGAACTTTAACTGGTCACTTTTTTTCACCTGCAGCCAGGCTGTAAAACTGCTTCTAGCAAAAAATGCAAGGGGTTGTGAAAAGGGGCTTTGTGGTCTAAGAATCCTCCTGCGTAGGCGCAGGTCACCCATGAGGCCTCTACAGGCTAAAGTAAACTTTTCCTGCTTGTCCTAGGCCAACAGTTAGAGCCTGAATCGCTGTTAACTTATTTGTAAATTGGTAAGAAAAAGAAAAAGAGGGAGAAAGTAAGCAAAGAACATTCACGCACACACGTGCAGGGGAAAAAGATGTTCCCACAAGCTCACATTTGAGATGTTGATTATAGCTGGCATTCCCTCTGCAGAAACTGCAGCAAGTTCCATAGGATCAGCCCATACATACAAATAGACAAACAATCGGACATATAGACCTGTACATATTCATATACACATTCAATGGACGATACAAAAGGAGCTCCTTACATACAGACAATTGACATACACTCATGTAAAATATGTACAAAAATTAGACAAACAGAGATATTTGCATGTAAACACATATCTATATACATATTTACAACTCATGGATGAAGCGAATTCCAGCCAGCTTTCATTCAATGGGCATCCACCACCTGGCTTCTGACAATGGTGTATAGGTGTCCTGCCACTATTTATTGTATCGTCTTTTTACCTCTGAGGCAAAGACACCAGAAAAGGAATTACCTCATAGTCAAAAAAGGCAATTAATCACAAAAACAGATGAATTCCAAATACAACAGGTTACATGTTTTAAAACTAAACATTTCTTATGAAGGTATCCATAGCATAAGTTCATAGTGAGTTCAGAGTGACAAAGGTTGACAAGGCCTAAAGGTTAACAGGATCTACAAGTTACAAGAATATATGTCTTTTCAATTAAGACTGACCTGGCTCCACATTTTTAAGCTATCTTTGGGGTGCTAATATTATCTGTCTTTCATTCCAAGAAACAAAGTAAATGTAAAATGACAGTATATAATGCCATAAGGTGACAAAGTACAAGGAATTGCAACAGAACAGTTTGTATATAATGACATAATTTGGGTTCACGGAAAGTTTAAACCAATTTGCTTATATTTATTGTGTCAAGGCTGAGGCTACAAATCTACCCTAAGCCTATCTCTTAGTGAGGCATCTGGAGGTCCACAAAGGTATTTATTGCAGCCATAAACTTTCTAAAGTTGTTTAAAATGTTCTAAAACAATTTAACTTTTAAAATGGTTTGAATCAAGTCGGGAATTTCCTAATCAGGAATTAATTCACCTGAACAGCAGGAAATACATGGAAAGCGATGATTCCCACCACACCAGATTATAGAGAGATATAGCCATGCACAAAGAATGAGTGTCAGAGACTGGAAGCAGTTCTGGGTGTATCGTGGTACAGACCTTGCAAAATAACAGACCCCCTTCCAGAAGGCCCACCTGCCTAATGAGAGCCCCTTTAACAGGATGGCTCCTGACGCCACACAAGATCTCCATTCAACAGGAAAGACTTTTATCACAAAGTGAGTAGAAGAGGGGCTGCATCTACACACAGAAAAGCCAACACCACAGAGTCGCAGAGAAAGTGAAGCTCCTTCTTCAGACAGAGTGTGGCTGCCTCTCAGGTGAGGCATTCAGAGGGGCAGAGATGACTCACCAAGCCTGTTTCAAGTTCAATCACCCATATCTCCTATCCACATTTCAATTTCTGTGGGTGTGTCCTTCTAATGGCCCAATGGGGACTGTTAGAAAAGTGAGAGAAAGCAAGAGGGAGAGGCAAAGGAGGAAGCCAAAGAACACTGTATACATGTGGAGGGTGATTCTTCCACCTGTGTGCCCGCGTAGAGGGGGGCCAGTCTCTTTTCCTTCTCAAGTGCTTCTGCAACCTGATTTCATGAGGCAGGGCCTCCCACTGAATCTGACGTTCATGGTTCTGTCCAGCAGGCCCAGGAGGCTCCAGTTCATGCACATGTGTGCTCAACTTTTATGTGTGCTCAACTTTTATGTGCGTTCTTGGGATCTGAATTCAGGTCATCATGCTGGCATGCCAGCATTTTAGCTGTGGACCCTCTCCCCAGCCCAGGAGAATGATGTTTTGAACATAACTATAATAATATAGTTAAAGGAAGTTTCATCATACAGGCAAAATGTTCACTTCAAGGACCTAATAAAAAGGGAATCCAGATTGAGACCACCAACTTCCTCAAGGGGTTTCCAACACCCAGGATGCCTGGAGTACAACAAATGAGTGAGCGCTGGGAGGAGGAGAATACACAGGGAACAGAAAGCAGAGACTCTTAAAGGAGAAAGGCCGAATCTGAAGATGAAGGACACCCTGAACTGTCTCAATCCTTTGTGTTATTGCAATGACCTCATCACCACTGCTTCTCTTTCTGTCCCTTGAGTGGACAGAAGAAATGCAATAAATATATTTTGGGCATTTTTACCCAGAGTGAAATGACAGAGGAAGCCACCTCTCCAGACATTAGCACCCAAAGGGTTTGACTTCAGTTCCAAGTATGGAATGAGAAGTCCAGCTCACAGCCCAGGCCATCAGAACCCTTCAGCTGGCAAGAAAACAAGAACTGAAAGGGAAATCAGTTTCTTTTTAAAAATTATATACTGTCTTGGGGTTGGACAGAACACTTAGCAATGAAGAACATTTGCTGTTCTTGCAGAGGACATGGGTTCAGTTCCCAGCATCCACATGGGGGCTCACAGATATCCATAGTGAACCTGATGCCCTCTTCTGGCCTCCCCCAGCATTGCACACATGGTGTGTATACACACCTGCAGGAAAAATACTCACAGACACAAAATAAAAATGTTTTACAAATTATGCACACTCTTCTCACTTTAAATATGACCAAATGCATTTAAGCCACCATTCAAATATATATATAAAGTGCAGATCTGGAGACTGGCTCGGTGGCTAAGAGCATTTGCTGCTCCTCCAGAGGAGCTGAGTTGGTCCCAAGCGCCCACACATAGTGCTTCACAGCCACCTGTAGCGCAGCTGTCACACACCTGGAACACACTCACACGTGCACACATAAACAAAGACTAAAAAAATAAAGCACACATAATGACACATTCTACAATGTAGGGAAGGCTGGAAAGAGCTGGGCAGGTTGAAAGACAAGTTCACTGCAAGTCCTGTTTTTTGCCACACGTCCATCCATGAACTTTAGGTAGTGACTCACACTATCAGGTTACAGAACATGACCTCGCTGTACAGCGGACTAAGCCTAAGAAAACACCCCCACACTCTGAAACTCAGTTTCAATTACAGGCGGGATTTAAAGACTATTTGTTCAGTTAGAACCACAACAAACAAGCATGGCTGACTTACAAGCAGCTTTGGGAAAGCTACCCTCCTGCGACCCCAAATCACTGATTTTTGCATCTTAATGCAAACCATCTTGAAGTGACCAGGGAGCCTCAGCCAGAGGTCCCTTAACCAAACCCAACTGTTGGTCTGAGAGAGCAAAGCGAAGCAGAAGATGGTGCTCCACAAGCTGACTTACCTTGCACAGCCAAGCCGGCCAGCCGGATCACCTGTTCCACTGAGCACCGTAACCTCCCTTCAAGCACATCTTTTTTGACTTGCAGGTAATACTGATATCTGTCACGGGACGAGAGGAACAAGCATTAACACACAGATCCTGGACTATGTTCACAGCACAATGTCCAGGTGGCACGGATGGTGTCACCTCTGCAGAGGATGGACAGTGACTGCTGCCTGTACCCCTCTGCTCAGTGCAGCCAGCTCACCAGAAGTGAGAAACATTCTCACCCAGTGCTTGGGGGTGTCCAGGATGAACGGAGATGGAAGATGTCACAGCAACACTCAGCAGTGCCTGCTTTCGATGGCTTAAGTCAATCTGACAAAAATCTAGACGCACCCGAGAGACGAGTTTCTGGGTATGTCTGCGGGAGGCAGGGGACGGGACTACATTGATTGCCCTAGCTGAGATAGAAATAAAATTTTAAAATAATAAAAATGAGTCTTAAAAATCAAAAATGTATACAGGTGAAAGTCTCCTAGACCAGATCACTAACTGGTCAAATAATGCGGAATTCTGTTGAAGCTTTTTTTTTAGAGCGTGGCTTCACCTCATACGTTTCCGACACATGAAAATGTAGCTGGTTTTAACTTTCCAACCTGGAGCATCTTTTCCAGAAGCAGAATGCAGACAGACAGAGGTGCAGCCTCATACGAACAGAAGCTGGAAGAGCGGGCGCTGCCCTTCTGGCTAAAGCGCTCCCTCAGAGCGCCTCACGGGGTCAGAGACCTCCTCCAGCAGGTGTCTGCTTCCAGGCTCTCACTGTCATCCCTCCCGCCAGATTGCCCCACAATGGATCCTGAAATACTAGTGGCCCTTTTGCTCCTCTAATAATCGTTCTGTACCATAACTTGATTCTGAGGTTACCCGAAGCCCACTTTCCCTCGAGACAGACAATCAAGTGAACTGACTATGGCAGTTCTATGACACACTGGCCTACTGACTGCCAGAGGGCAAGACACTGGCTCTCTGCCCACCCCAGCCCAGCCACCCTGGGTCTGCAGAGCAGGAAAAGAAGCAAAGCAAAACAGGTTAGTCTCTGGCAGGAAAAAAAGCTAGACTCAGATCTGAAGGGCAGACACTGGGAGTTACTTAATAAATCCTTTTAAATCAAACTGAATATACAACAGAAAATTACTTCTGTTTCCTGCTCCTACCTGGTCTTTTATCTGATAGAGTCATAGCCATTTTCTAGGTTTCACCATTCAGTCAGGAATTTTCCTCCTGTCCGAATCATTTGGCTATATCAGTGAATGATCACCATTGAGCTGTAGACGCCAGCCACACAGAAAACCTTTGGTCTACTTGTCTACCAACAACTACCCCTCAGTGGACACAGTTCTGATTCCTCTTACCCCAAGTCATAGCATACAGAAAAGGAATTAGTGACAAAGTCATTTGCTGGCCATGAAAAGCCAGTGTCTTCAACTCTAAAAGTGCTGGGACTAACAGGGAGGAAACATTAAGATCAATGCAAACCCCAGGGAGACCAAGGCATTATGGGTAGACAAGAAGTGAAGGGAGAGAGAAGGAAGAAAGGGAGAGGGGAAAAGAGGGAGGGAAAGAGAGGGAGAGAGAAACATAGAAAGGGGAGAGGGAGGGAGGGAGGAAAGAAGGGAGGAAGGGGGGAAAAGAGAGACTGATTCTTGCAGTAGGAAAAGGAAGCCACGGCTTGTTCCCTCATGAGACTTTGAACAAATAACACTGACGCACAACTTTATATGAACTTAGGATCCTGACAAGAGTAAATCAAAATACCCAACACTAAGAATCCTGAATGGCTACAGTAATGCATGCTGCAGTCATAACCCTCTGGCATTCTGACTTTCTCTGTGCAGACCATCGATTCCCCAATTCATATTTCCCAGTTTTCATGTTTCTCCCAAAGAGAATTTGAGGCCGGCCACAGGCACATGCTTGCCTGTCTCCCCTCCGAGCCAGGCTATAATCGTAATCCCAGTCCCTCTGTTCTCCTGTATTGCAGGAGCCCCATTAAGACCGCACATCACCTACCCCCTCTGCTTGGAAGAGTGCAGCCCCCTCCACTACAGGCAAAGCTTGCAGAGCCAATTAGGTAAATACACGAAACACCTGTGTTTAAAAACTAGCACCAGATGTGGCAGTGTGGATCTGTAATTCCAGCACTCAAGGAGCTCCGAGAAGAGGATCACAAATGCAAGGCCAGCCCAGGCTAGATAATGAACTCTGGGCCAGCCTGGGCTATATAGTGAGACCTTGTCTCGAAACAAAATGAACACCAGCTAACTGTCAATGCACAGGATTGGTGAACCTGCTGGGAGGCAGCTCAGTGAACCTGGAGAAGGAGGGAGGTCCACAGCTCTAGATGGATGCTTCTCATCTCAGAGCACAACACCCTTCTGAGTTCTACACCCAGCCTTCAAGGTTCTGTGCTCAGTGACCTCTGTCATCTCGCTCACTACGCCCCTGGACCAGTTCTCCAGGGAACAGCGCCTCACTCACTCCAGGTAACCTTCTCTTCAGGAGACCCTGGGAGGTGCCCAGGAGTCCTTTGTGGAGGAGCTTTTATCTTAGCAACCCCAGCAGTTCTTAGGGGGAGGAAACAGAGCCAGTAAGAGGATCCTTAAGTTATCAAAACCCCTTTTAAGTGCCAAGAGCTCACTGTGAAAGCAGACACTTCTTTGAAGACTAACCACTTGGAGTCTGAAGATCCTACTTTCAAAACTGAGAGGATGAGAGCAGAAAAGAGGGACAAGGAAAGGTGTCAGCTTTGCCCTGTGGGCCACACTGTCTCTCTCAGTAATGTTTAAGGGCATCAAAACCAAGAACAAAAGCCCTGCAGAGCCTATGAGCCATCTCTCAGACCAAAAGGCACCTTCAGGCTTACTGAGGAAAGCTACAATGGGAGTCTCAAAACTGACCAAAGTGTGTGTCGGGGGAGGGGCATCTCAGTTGGGAAAGGAGGCAGCTCACCTACAGTACTAATTACATGAAGTTTAAATCTCCTGTAGCATCCCTTCTCTACCGTGGGTCGTTTTCACTTAGTCCTTCAAGTCAGAGGGGCAGGCAACATGAACTTAGGAAGCATTTTTTTTTTTCTGGGAGCATGAATGCAAAATATGCTGTCATCTTAGGGAGGACCAGGCCCCAGTCTCTGCCTCACTGTCAGTTTTTAACATCGTCTAACAGGGCAGTCTTGCAGTACCCGATGGAAATGTATGTAAGGATGTTGTCACGTGTGTGCCAGAACTGGAGCTGTCTCCCATGTCACCCCAGAAGTGAAAATGATCAGTAGAGAGACTGTTAGCAGATTCTTTTGGAGACTACACCAGTGACCAAGAAACCCAGCGGATCTGGCCAAACAGCAGCTCCACATGTCCTGAGCCCGATGCTTGCTGTTCAGGGTCATTCAGTTCTTTTGTTGTTGTTGGTTTTCAGACAGGGTCTCATGAAGCCCAAGCTGGCCTCCAACTCCCTAAGTAACCAAGGATGACCTTGAACTCCTGCCCTCTAGAAGCATGGGCCATGGTGACTCGTAAGCAGTGCCCAGAATCAAGCCCAGGGCTGCTTCATGCTAAGGGAAACCCTCTACCCACTAGCCACATCCTAGCCCACACACATAACAGGTTCTACTCAGATCCTCCTGGGACAGGAAACAGTGACTCCAACCAAGGAACACTGGAACGCTGCTCACACATAGGCTGCTATAGGCTTGTGCTTAGATATAGAACGCCAGGGCTGCATGCTCTTCTGGAAGCCATCCAGACTACAGAGACCTCTGTAGTGTCGCTACATGACACTCTGCTGGTTACTAGTGAGACTGGAAAAAAATAAGGACAAAATTTAGACTAATCTGGAAATTACTTGCTCCATTTACTTTCCCACTGAAAGCCGCTTTGTGAAATATCAAAATGGCATCCCATCAGATCTGCGAGCAAAGCTGGCGTTCTGTTTTTAGAATCATTGGGTTCCTCTCTTTCTTGGTTAGACATACAACTCTAACTGCAGTGAAGTAAAACCATGGGTCCTATTTTGGAAACATACAATTTCATGGAAGTACACCCCACCCTGCCAGCACTGTGGGTGGAAAGGAAAAATCCAGCCAGCAATCCTCATGCCAGGAAATGAAGCACAGCCAAGTTTCCAAAGAGGTCCTCTTTGAATCTAAGCTTGCAAGGAAAATGTTAAAACATTCCTCATATTCAAAGCCCTTGAAACACTCACCCCATCTGGCTACAGATATCCAGGGACTGGTTGTAGCTTATAAGCTGGTTCTCCCTGTAAGAACTGAGATACAATTCTGCATGTTGAATAAAGGTGAATTTTCTTAATTCATTTTTTTTCACCTTGCCTTTAATTTAAAGCACATCAGTGGAGCACTCGGTATTAAGACAGAGACACGCAACTGCCTGAACCATCTACATGGCATGACGTTATTCTCTGTGTTTCCCGATGTGTGGCTGGGACCCCTCACCCCCACTCTAATTCACTTGTGTGCAATCTGAGCATTCTGTCTGTGTTACACTTTGCAGGTCTGTCCCTTCTGGTTGAGAAATGCTTTGTGGTAGCCTACAAAGAAAGCAGGGCCTGTCTTACCGCAGAAGGGTGCCAGGAACTCAAAGGCTGAGGTCACAGACACATAGCCTTGAGGATATTTTTCCCACCCCTCCCCCAACAGAATCCTTCATTCCAAGTCCGGGGCAGCAGAGGAAGCCCAAGTTGGGAAGAACCCATCTCAACAGCAAAGCCTTCAGCCCTGGATTTGCCCTGACTGCCATGTAAGGACGCCAGCACCCTCACCATGACAATGGAGGCAGGAGCGGTGGGCCGGCATGGTACTGTAGATGCTTGCTTGGAGGACCCCTCCCTAGCATTGGATAACCTCATTTTCTGGTAACAGTGCTGGGCTCCTGGAGTGTGCATACAAGTATCTGCAACCCTCTAGCAGACATCCTCAGAGCCCGTGGGATTCCTGTTTCCCTTTGTCCTGAAAACTACCGTGGGCAAGAAGGGATTCCTTTTATGTTGCTCCAGTATCCTGGACAAAGACGATTCTGCGATCAGCTACTGCCTCTCAGGT